ACCATCTACTGGTAGTGTTATAAGAAAAGTCTATTCTATCTAACAACTCTACGAATTCACTCGAAGGCGAAATTTCAGATCGAACGCAGGTGGACAGAGAAAAGAAGACAGAGAAGCGCAATGATTCCAAAGAGCATTCCATTGGACAATTTCCCCAGAATACAACTGGCAGAACAGTTGATCGTAGCCAGACTGAATTCGAATGAGTCAATAATTCAATAGCAGGACCATCATCACATTGCGGACTGTCTAATACAGGCATAATGACCTGAAGACTATATGTTCGCTTGGATGAAAGCCAGTAGGCTGGGAACCAAAGAACGAGGCTTTCTGCCGCTCTGAAACAATACAGGACCATACCGATATAGGTAGTCGAGAGAAAAAAGTGCCAGAAGAATAGTTTCATGTAAACAATGATGTATTGATTTGGTAGTTCAGGAACGCCAGGATTTATAGAAATCAGGAGTGAAATTTATCCACGAATGAAGCCAGGATCAATCAATGTAGAGTCCTCTGGTCAGAATCAATAAAACGCTTGTCCTGTATGCGGTATATACATTCTGTGGCGTGAAGTGATCATTATTTATTTCATGCTTTTATTGGCAATGAGCAACCTTACGTTTACCGAGATAATTACAATAACCAAGGGCAATTTATTGGAGCAACATCAAAGATTCTGACTGTGACAGTGGATCTGCAAGGCATACCAGCATGCAAATGTCATGTTGATCCAGGAGTCAGAATTACCATATGTTCTACACGGAATTCAGTGGAGAACCAGAATCTCACAAGATCATGGTAATGGAGACAACAGCTGTACAAAACAATCAAAAGGAAATGACTGGCATAAAATTAAATGAAATTTGGGCAACATCAGTATAAAAATCCCCACATTCCTGTTCAGCCAAGACCAATGTACTACCCCAACGTACTGCTTTATCCTTGTGTCCTTCCTCACCATCACACATTTTCTTCGTCATGACTGCACTTTTCCACTACCACAGACTTGTATCAGGTCAGACTTCACCTGTATCTCACCAACCACAGACTTGTATCAGGTCAGACTTCACCTGTATCTCACCAACCACAGACTTGTATCAGGTCAGAGTTCACCTGTATCTCACCAACCACAGACTTGTATCAGGTCAGACTTCAACTGTATCTCACCAACCATAGACTTGTATCAGGTCAGACTTCACCTGTATCTCACCAACCACAGACTTGTATCAGGTCAGACTTCACCTGTATCTCACCAACCACAGACTTGTATCAGGTCAGAGTTCACCTGTACCTCCACTAACACAGACTGGTATCAGGTCAGAGTTCACCCGTATCTCCACTACCACAGATTATATTAGGTCAGACTTCACCTGTATCTCACCAACAACAGACTTGTATCAGGTCAGACTTGTATCGCCACTACTACAGACTTCTTTCTGTGCCTGCTGATGTAATGTGATCTCTTAAAACAGGAAATGTCTGTTGATGTAATGAGATATCTATAAACAGGAAGTGCATGTTGGTGTAGTGAGATCTCTATAAACAGGAAGTGTCTGTTGGTGTAGTGAGATCTCTATAAACAGGAAGTGTCTGTTGGTGTAATGAGATATCTATAAACAGGAAGTATCTGTTGGTGTAAAGAGATATCTATAAACAGGAAGTGCATGTTGGTGTAGTGAGATCTCTATAAACAGGAAGTGTCTGTTGGTGTAGTGAGATCTCTATAAACAGGAAGTGTCTGTTGGTGTAATGAGATATCTATAAACAGGAAGTGCATGTTGGTGTAGTGAGATTTCTATAAACAGGAAGTACATGTTGGTGTAGTGAGATCTTTATAAACAGGAAGTGTCTGTTGGTGTAATGAGATATCTATAAACAGGAAGTGTCTGTTGGTGTAATGAGATATCTATCAACAGGAAGTGTCTGTTGGTGTAATGAGATATCTATAAACAGGAAGTGCATGTTGATGTAGTGATATCTCTATAAACAGGAAGTGTCTGTTGGTGTAGTGAGATCTCTATAAACAGGAAGTGTCTGTTGGTGTAATGAGATATCTATAAACAGGAAGTATCTGTTGATGTAATAAGATCTCTATAAACAGGAAGTGTCTGTTGGTGTAGTGAGACAGTTATAAATGGGAAGTGTCTGTTGGTATAGTGAAATGGCTATAAACAGGAAGTGTCTATTGGTGTAGTGAGATCCCTATAAACAGGAAGTGTCTGTTGGTGTAATGAGATCTCCATAAACAGGAAGTGTCTGTTGGGGTAGTGAGAACCCTATAAACAGGAAGTGCCTGTTGATGCAGTGAGATCTCTATAAACAGGAAGTATCTGTGGATTTAATGAGATGGCTATAAACAGGAAGTGTCTGTTAGTGTAATAAGATCTCTATAAACAGGAAATATCTATTGTATAGTGAGATCTCTAAAAACAGGAAGTATCTGTTGATGTAATGAGATGGCTATAAACAGGAAGTGTCTGTTGGTGAAATGAGATGGCTATAAACAGGAAGTGTTTGTTGGTGTAATGAGATGGCTATAAACAGGAAGTGTCTGTTGGTGTAATGAGATGGCTATAAACAGGAAGTGTCTGTTGGTGTAATGAGATCTCCATAAACAGGAAGTATCTGTTGGTGTAATGAGATCTCCATAAACAGGAAGTGTCTGTTGGGGTAGTGAGAACCCTATAAACAGGAAGTGCCTGTTGATGCAGTGAGATCTCTATAAACAGGAAGTGTCTGTTAGTGTAATAAGATCTCTATAAACAGGAAATATCTATTGTATAGTGAGATCTCTAAAAACAGGAAGTATCTGTTGATGTAATGAGATGGCTATAAACAGGAAGTGTCTGTTGGTTAAATGAGATGGCTATAAACAGGAAGTGTTTGTTGGTGTAATGAGATGGCTATAAACAGGAAGTGCATGTTGGTGTAATGAGATGGCTTTAAACAGGAAGTGTCTGTTGACCTAAGATCATGATAGTTTTGTTAACATGAAGTGAATGCTGGTTTTTCAGTGACCTCCATATTCATGACTACAGAGCTACAAACGATATAGGAACATATGAAGGTGTCTCCTGTGACACATCAAGGTGTTCTGTGACTTGATATACTATCATATGAGTCAGATGTCCTTGTGAAGGAATTAAGGCATCCCTAATCTTCACACACATCACGTTTTGTAAATCAAAAATGTATCAGCTATGGAATGTGAAGGGATACCACAGAACAATAACGTAATAGTACTGTGTCAGAAGAAATTAACAAGTTGGTCAGGGCTTGCTTTCCTTTCCCATAAAGTGATTTCTTTTATCTTGTATACATGTATCTTATTGAGTGTATAATAGTATAAGTTGTATTGCCATGGTAATTATACAATATATTATATATCATATATATATAATATTCTAGGTGTGTGTTTAAGTGACAATGTTATGTAGAACGAATGATGTGCAGCTGTATGATGTCTGTCAACAGTACATGTTTGACCTAATTTAATATTTCCTATGAAAACCAGTCTCATTGTTTGCCCTTGTTACCAGCCAGTCCCATGTTACGGTTGATTGTATCTGCACAAATCTCTCTCTAACAGTAATACCCTAAGGAATTGTGTATACCACACAGGTGTATGTTCATTTGCTGAACAGTACTAGAATAGTAAACAAGCTTTCAGGTTGATTGTAAGGTGGACCAGAAGTGTACAGTATTGTAACATTATACAGACTAGGTGGATGCAAGCTCTCAGGTAGTCTGTCTGGTGGATCAGAACTGTAGAGTACTGTAGCCGCATACAAGCTCTCATCTAGGCTGTCATGTGGATCAAAACTAAACAGCACTATCACAGTAAACAAGCTTTCAGGTAGATTGTAAGGTGGACCAGAAGTGTAGAGTACTGTAGCAGTATACAGACTAGGAGGATACAATCTCCTGTCTAATCTGTCATGTGGATCAAAATTGTAACAGTGTACAGAATCTGAAGCACTCGGCTAGTCAGTGCGGTAGATCAGAACTGTACAGTAAAAATAACAGTGTACAGAACCTGAAGCTCTCACCTAGTCAGTGCGGTAGATCAGAACTGTACAGTAAAAATAACAGTGTACAGAACCTGAAGCTCTCACCTAGTCAGTGCGGTAGATCAGAACTGTACAGTAAAAATAACAGTGTACAGAACCTGAAGCTCTCACCTAGTCAGTGCGGTAGATCAGAACTGTACAGCAAAAATAACAGTGTACAGAACCTGAAGCTCTCACCTAGTCAGTGCGGTAGATCAGAACTGTACAGCAAAAATAACAGTGTACAGAACCTGAAGCTCTCACCTAGTCAGTGCGGTAGATCAGAACTGTACAGTAAAAATAACAGTGTACAGAACCTGAAGCTCTCACCTAGTCAGTGCGGTAGATCAGAACTGTACAGTAAAAATAACAGTGTACAGAACCTGAAGCTCTCACCTAGTCAGTGCGGTAGATCAGAACTGTACAGTAAAAATAACGGTGTACAGAACCTGAAGCTCTCACCTAGTCAGTGCGGTAGATCAGAACTGTACAGTAAAAATAACGGTGTACAGAACCTGAAGCTCTCACCTAGTCAGTGCAGTAGATCAGAACTGTACAGTAAACATAACGGTGTACAGAATCTGAAGCTCTCACCTAGTCAGTGCAGTAGATCAGAACTGTACAGTAAACATAACGGTGTACAGAATCTGAAGCTCTCACCTAGTCAGTGCAGTTGATCAGAACTGTACAGTACCATAACAGTGTACAGAATCTGAAGTTCATCGCTAGTCCTTGTGGTTGATCTGAACTGTACAGTACTCTAACAGTGTAAAAAAATCTGAAGCTCTCTACTAGTTTGTCAGGTAGATCAGAACTGTACAGTACTATAACAGTGTACAGAATCTGAACTTCTCCGATAGTCCTTGTGGTTGATCAGAACTGTACAGTACTGTATCCATACACGAAGTAGCAACATACCCAGCTACTGATTAAGATAAAACAAAAGCTGTGTTTAGAGCAATGGATGTTTTATTAAGAATAGTAGGACATCTCTACGTCTAGTTGTAACACGCTCCAATGTGAGATTGCCCCACACCATCTACCTGGCATTTCATAAAAAAATAATCCGTTACATACAAACACACACATATATATATATATATATTATATATATACATGAGGCTAGTAAACATCCAATGAAACAATTATATCTATCTGTTCACATATAATCATCTCTTATCATACAAAAAGGTGATGAATAATAATAATTTTAATAAATGTAAATTTGAAATTTGAACAAAGAAATTTTCAACAAATGTGATATTAAATGAACTACAACAAGGTTTATCAAAAAACCCAAGTGAATTATAGTAATAATAATAATAATAAACGGCAAAATGCAATATCCAATTAATGACCAGATGAAGCTATTGGATGTTAGAGGGACACAGCTGATTTTTAGTAAATTGTGCTACTTCTTCAAGCCTTCAATGGATATAAAGCTCCAAAACTCTAATACACTGACAATGGAACTACTGTAATAAAGTCTTCACCCCTGCTTCATCTGTGCACCCACCCTCCCAGTCTCGGACAATGGAATGAATATGTAAGTAAGAAAATGGGGAGATTTGGAACAGTTCAAAAAATGCAGTTGTGACCCTTGAAAAAATTTAGTCCTCCACAAAAGCATACACAACAAGAGCTAGTTGTCAAATTTGATGAAGTTTGTTTAAACTGTAGGATGAAAAAGATTTGCATGAATAAAAATAATGTGGTTTCCTGACAGCTGGCCCCAAATGATGAATCTGAATACTAACGAATAAAGAAAACATACATGTATTGGCAGTTATGGCTTTGGAAAAATTGACATTTTTCACTTCATATTTTTCATTCCTAATGAAATATTTGTGAAAGGAAACTACTCCCAATACTCCTAACAAGTACTAGGAATACATTCAATAAACTGAAGCAAGATGTTTTTCTGTCCTGGTCAAAAATACTTCATTTTGATAACTTTCCATGAATTTTCACATTTATTTCAACAAAAATATATCTTTATCATTCATTGTACACAAGTAGCATTCATATTGATATTCATAATCAGCAACCAACATTATGCAAATCACATCTATACTTAACCATTTACCATATGGTTAATGAGCACATAATCTACCTACATATCACTGACTATCACGCCATACAATAGCTATTACAGGGGAACCTAGTAAAGCTGCTACACACATTTTGTGCTTTTTAAACAATCATGATGACAATTAAAAATACTGTATGACCTTGACCATTGACCTTCTGAATGAGCACAAATTTATACACGTAAATGTAGTTAGTAGTTGCCTTATCTGAAAGCGATTCTCTGCTGACATATAATGCCTACATATATCATGATGTAGCAGAGGGTCAAAGTTTCACAATGTAGTAGTAACCATGGAGACAGGTTGGGAACAAAAGGTCAATAGAGGTCATATCAGTATGTCATCAGCATAGTGATAACTATTCTATACATATCTATATACATATACATAGATATATATAGATATACTTCATGTAATAATATTTATAATATATATTTTTTTCCCTGAAAGTTAAATGAGATCTAAGGCAATCAAACCTGGGAAGATGTATTCCTTTGTTCTGGTTTCCCATTACATAACATATCCCCACAAGTTTGGCCACCATGTTGTGCCTACTCCTGACACACTGTAGTAACACTGGCTAAACGTGGGACTAACCACCAATTCTATCACTAAGGTACCAACAGCTACCCAGTGTAGAAGGAACCATGTCACTACCTTTCACTTCCTACATCCACATGCCACACGTTTGTATCATCAATGACAAGGACTGGTATAAGATAAAAGAAAGACAACACATTTCCAACATCACAACAAAGCAACGGTATTTATCCGGTTGGCACTGTTCAGAATGTGTGATAACTCCTCCACACAGTAAACTTTAGAATCACATTAACAAGTAAAGAGTTGACAAAAAGCTTTGAGTGTCTACACTAAGTAGTATCAGCTGTATTGCTATGTTCTCTGTTGTATAAAGATATGTACGTCATATCCATGAAGGTCACATCCTCCCATCAAACGAATTGCCTTAACACATCCTCACAGAGCCTGGCCTCCATACATGGCCTCACTTGTGTCCAGTGTGAAGCTTAGTAAAATCTTCAGCCATCACATCCTCACCAAGCCAAGATGCATGGCATCGCAGGATATAGGAATTTTCCCCACAGGGCCTTGAAAGGTCCAGGAATTCTTCCCACATGACCCAGTAGGAAGCAGGAATTCTCCTCACAAGGTCTTGTAGGATACAGGAATTCTCCTCAAAGGGCCTAGTAGGAAACAGGATTTCTCCTAAGAGGGCCTTGTAAATTCAGATATTCTTTCTACTGGGTCCTGTAGGAACCAGGAATCCTTTTGACAGGGCCTTTTAAAATCCTTGAACTCTCCTCACAGAGTTCCTCCCTGGCCCTGAACCTGTATATATCCACATGGACTGTCTCTAACCAGTGTATAGTGTTTATATCACCTAGCTGGTTTTCTTGTAGCACTCTTATAGTCACTCATGTCTTTGGCAGTGGTTTAAATATTAGGGTCACATAAATCCAGGCTAACACATTAGGTACTGAAAGCAATCTGACCATGTTGCTTTCCACAGATTTCCTTAGTGACCTTTTGTGGTATGTATCATATACATAGGCTTTTGCCCTATAGTCAATTCTTCTCGTTCTATGGTACAAGTTTTCAATTGAAAAGAAAGATAGGCAGACTTTCTGTAATCATTCCTCTGTCCTTGATAATTTTGGGGTTTGATATGTTTTAAATGAGATATAGTCCGTGTGCTGATATGGTGCTGCTGTCCTTCATTCATCATCTCGGTCAGCTTCATTCAGAACAGCTATAGCATCCTTAACAGCGTGATACACAATATTCTTCACCTACAATATGGACAAGCAGATAATTAATTTCTGTGTAAATTTTTCATTTTATTCTTACAATATCTAACAAATTAAACAAATTCCTTAGATGTTGTTCAATAAAACATAGAACAATGATAGATAACAGTATTTCCACATCGCAACATCAGTCCAGATCGCCTTGATGTAATCAGTTGAAAATCAGCATTTAAATAGGTATGTCAAATGTAAATAATGGGTTAATTACAAGGGTCATAGGTCAGCCTACAATCATGAGTACAGATTCTTTTGCACTGAAACTGACAGACGTGCGTACCTGTAGTTTATCCTCGTGGTTGGAATGTGTGTCTGAAAGAAGACGGAACTCCTGTGTCAGAGAGAAGCAGTGGTTGAGGTGTTCTGGTGACACAAAGTCTTCAGCAACTTTGATACAACTGTGGAGGTTGCGCACCTGATGAGGAGCACCAGCAGGTATGAAAATAGCGTCTCCTGCACATTGGACGATGGTGTAGCCCAAGACACCATACTCTTTGTAAAGTCGGTCACGTAGCTGCTCATTTAAGTACCAACTCTGGTCGTGAATGGGATCATGGTGTTGTTCGATCACCTCGCCACGCTCCTTAGCAACCTGCAAGAACAAGTAAAGATGTTAGTAGACAAAACCAGCATTATGCCTCTCTCCAATGCTAAAAACAAGTATTTCATAATTACATAAACCATGTAACAACATCTTTATTGAAATCTTATGCCAGACATGATATATTCAAGTTTTTCCCTTGAAGAGTGTAGAAACATTATGCCAGACATGATATATTCAAGTTTTTCCCTTGAAGACTGTAAAAATTATGCCTTATTTCTATAAGTTTCAAGAGGTAGAGGGCACTATAGTAAATAAATAGATCTATTATACACACTTAAATACACTTTAAACTGGTTATTCTGTTTTTGCTCTATACTTCCAAGTTTAAATCAGAAAATAAGAACCTTAAATGATGTTCAATAAAAGTGAAATAGGTTGACATTGGTCCCCTATGGAGACATTTTATCAGTATTGTGCTAGGTACAGGTATTGACAGGGTGTCACCATTTCAGATTGATGTGTCCAGTACAAACAGTGTTGTATAAATACACCAAGTAGGAAAAGTGTCCCTATACACATCCACTGAGGTACACAAGCTTTCATTTACAAGTAAGTAAGGATAGCTATGTGCCAAGGTTAAAAGGAGAGGTCACCAATACAACAGGATTGTCTGGTAGGGAGGAAATTGTTCTAAATAGAGACTGTTTAATTATTTATAAGGAACTTAATATCCCCTGCTATTTCACAAAATTCTATTTCTTGCAATCAAGAAATGTGATAACGTAACTCACCAAATAAAATCTTTGTTTAAATACAATTAAGTCCATTTAAGTGCTCACTTGAAATATCAGATTTATTGTGAAGAAAAATTTTCTTCTGAAAAACAGAATATTTGAAGGAGGTAAAAATCCAATCAGTTAGCTAGGATAGACCTAATTCATGGAGGCATGCCATTAATGACCCATAAGACTGACATCTCCAGGGTAACATCAACATCCCATGTTTGTCTGCTGCCAAGCTCTACAGCTGGAACATCTAGCACCTGTTACACAGTCTTAACCTTCACTTCCTGTTGTACCAGCATCTGTTGCTTTCATCTCTAATTTGATAGCCAATGCCTAACACTTTTATTTTTAGAAACTTTCCCCATGCCATCTATAAAAATCTTATAAACATATTACTAAGCAGCTGCAAACAGCTTGTCATATCAATTACTTACACATATCCTGATATAGATTTTACCATTTTAACTGCTTCTTTCTATTGCCTACCTTGTTGAGAAAATCTCTCATCTTGTCAGCATCTCTTGCATCCCAGATCTGCCACAATGCACCAGGCACTTCGTGAACTTCACGTACGCGACGCTTGGTGATCATGTCGCAGCCTGCCTCATCGATGGCTTGAAGGGCTGCATTTTCATAAAAGGCACGTCCTCCAGCATCATCTTCAGGGATTCCGACATACACCATAACATTAACAGCGTCAGATACATCTAAGTGTAGGTTTGTAGTGCCTTCTTCAGGGTGAAGTGCAGATCCTACAACAAAATTGTATGATTTTATTTAACAGGATTGGGTGAGATGATAACAACATATGAATAAAACCACATTGATACAAGAGAGCAGGTTCCCGCCACAGAAATAAGCTTTGTAATTTCTAGACCAGGACTTATTAGTTTCTGGACCAAGTGGTTTGGTACTTTCAGGACCTTTGTAATTTCTAGAATTATAGTCTTGGGTTAATTTCTGGATCAATAGGCACTAACTGATCAAGTGATTGAACATACCATAAGCATTGTACATCTTAGGACCCAAGTCTGGCCTGACAAGGAAGTCTGGGAGTCTGGAAGCGAGGTTGAGTCGTCCCTGTCGGTGTGTATACTCTGGTAAAGGCAGGGCCTGCATCAGGTCCTCAAAGTGCTGAGGCATGAGATCACTGAAATCATCACCTGGTGGCCAGTCCTTTAGTTTCAACAGTATTGGATCTCCTTCATCATCAACCAGACGTTCTGTAAAATATACAGCACATAATATATCTCAAAAAGTGTACATTGAATTCATGTTCAGTGTTTAACACCGAAATCTTTCTGGAAATGTAAGGAAAATGCATTCTCAATTCATCCCCTTAGACGAGTCAAAATAACAGAGATGTGATTAGCTTACCAGAGATTTTGTCAAATCCCTCCCAGAATGTGGCCATGGGGTGACCCACGATGAGACAGCCATTTCGGGTGTTGATGAGATCATTCTTATGTTTACCAAATTCCCGACTGAAGGTTTTTGGACTCCAAAGGTTTCTGTTCAAGCAATTGTCCACCCCAGACACTAACACAGGCTGTCAAGGTGAAAAAAAGAACATATTTCAATGGAATATTGCAGATTTGTAAATCTCATGTGGGATTGTTGTAATTCAGTGGAAAAACTTCTTAAACTAATGTAAAATTTCTAATGATTCTGGACAGCTAATGTTTAAAATTATCTTTAACTAGGCTTATATAGCCTATTGCCCCCAAGAAAATACTGATAACACAGCAAGACACAAACAGGAATGACCATCATGTGACATAACCTGATTCATCTAAATCAAGTCACTGAGGAATAAGATGCAAGCGAAATTGAAAATTCTGCAAAGAAACACTAACTGGAGCATAATCTATGTAGCAAGCAATTGTTTTTAACCTGTTAAATCCAAGTCAAATGGACAAAACATTCTCAATTTACAACCAATGAGTGAGGAGAACACTGACAGTTTTGTAATGTTAACAAAAACAGGCTTGTGTAGATTTACATTAACATACAGGTTACATGCTAAGAATTTACAATTCATCAAGTTAAGTGTATCCATCATATTTGTTTATGTATCAACAACTTTCATATCTATATATACGAAGGCATTGATAGCTGTACTTCGAAGCCGATTCATATCACAAACTCAATTCAGCACAAAGGCCAACTTAATTCTCTCAGATCACAAAACACATTTACTCTGAAAGCATGCCAATTCCTGGATTGCCTTCTGTCCAAATTTACTGGGGCATGTTTACATTTTCTTTGACCTTCGACTTTTTACTTATTTGTATGGTGGTAAGATACACACAACAGAATAACATCCTGGTGACCATGCAAAAACAAATATTGAAAAATGTATCCATTGATTGCTGTATATGATATTGATCTATAACAGTAACACTGTGTACCTGATCAACCTTACACAACAAACCTCAATCACAAATAATATCACTATCAATGTACCCCACACAACAAACCTCAGTAACAAATAATATCACTATCAATGTACCTCACACACAACAAACCTCTATCACAATTAATATCACTATCAATGTACCCCACACAACAAACCTCAGTCACAAATAATATCACTATCAATGTATGTTACACAACAAACCTCAGTCACAAATAATATTACTATCAATGTACCTCACACACAACAAACCTCTATCACAATTAATATCACTATCAATGTACCCCACACAACAAACCTCAGTCACAAATAATATCACTATCAATGTATGTTACACAACAAACCTCAGTCACAAATAATATTACTATCAATGTATGTTACACAACAAACCTCAGTCACAAATAATATCACTATCAATGTACCCCACACAACAAACCTCAGTCACAAATAATATCACTATCAATGTATGTTACACAACAAACTTCAGTCACAAATAATATCACTATCAATGTACCCCACACAACAAACCTCAGTCACAAATAATATCACTATCAATGTACCTCACACACAACAAACCTCTATCACAATTAATATCACTATCAATGTACCCCACACAACAAACCTCAGTCACAAATAATATCACTATCAATGTATGTTACACAACAAACCTCAGTCACAAATAATATTACTATCAATGTATGTTACACAACAAACCTCAGTCACAAATAATATCACTATCAATGTACCCCACACAACAAACCTCAGTCACAAATAATATCACTATCAATGTACCCCACACAACAAACCTCAGTCACAAATAATATCACTATCAATGTATGTTACACAACAAACCTCAGTCACAAATAATATCACTATCAATGTATGTTACACAACAAACCTCAGTCACAAATAATATCACTATCAATGTATGTTACACAACAAACCTCTATCACAAATAATATCACTATCAATGTATGTTACACAACAAACCTCAGTCACAAATAATATCACTATCAATGTACCCCACACAACAAACCTCAGTCACAAATAATATCACTATCAATGTACCCCACACAACAAACCTCAGTCACAAATAATATCACTATCAATGTACCCCACACAACAAACCTCAGTCACAAATAATATCACTATCAATGTACCCCACACAACAAACCTCAGTCACAAATAATATCACTATCAATGTATGTTACACAACAAACCTCAGTCACAAATAATATCACTATCAATGTATCACACAACAAACCTCAGTCACAAATAATATCACTATCAATGTACCCCACACAACAAACCTCAGTCACAAATAATATCACTATCAATGTATGTTACACAACAAACCTCAGTCACAAATAATATTACTATCAATGTACCCCACACAACAAACTTCAGTCAAAAATAATATCACTATCAATGTACCCCACACAACAAACCTCAGTCACAAATAATATCACTATCAATGTATGTTACACAACAAACCTCAGTCACAAATAATATCACTATCAATGTACCCCACACAACAAACTTCAGTCACAAATAATATCACTATCCAACAAACCTCAGTCACAAATAATATCACTATCAATGTATGTTACACAACAAACCTCAGTCACAAATAATATCACTATCAATGTAGGTTACACAACAAACCTCAGTCACAAATAATATCACTATCAATGTACCCCACACAACAAACCTCAGTCACAAATAATATCACTATCAATGTACCCCACACAACAAACCTCAGTCACAAATAATATCACTATCAATGTATGTTACACAACAAACCTCAGTCACAAATAATATCACTATCAATGTATGTTACACAACAAACCTCAGTCACAAATAATATCACTATCAATGTACCCCACACAACAAACCTCAGTCACAAATAATATCACTATCAATGTACCCCACACAACAAACCTCAGTCACAAATAATATCACTATCAATGTAACACAACAAACCTCAGTCACAAATAATATCACTATCAATGTACCCCACACAACAAACCTCAGTCACAAATAATATCACTATCAATGTACCCCACACAACAAACCTCAGTCACAAATAATATCACTATCAATGTATGTTACACAACAAACCTCAGTCACAAATAATATCACTATCAATGTATGTTACACAACAAACCTCAGTCACAAATAATATCACTATCAATGTATGTTACACAACAAACCTCAGTCACAAATAATATCACTATCAATGTATGTTACACAACAAACCTCAGTCACAAATAATATCACTATCAATGTACCCCACACAACAAACCTCAGTCACAAATAATATCACTATCAATGTATGTTACACAACAAACCTCAGTCACAAACCTCAGTCACAAATAATATTACTATCAATGTATGTTACACAACAAACCTCAGTCACAAATAATATCACTATCAATGTATGTTACACAACAAACCTCAGTCACAAATAATATCACTATCAATGTACCCCACACAACAAACCTCAGTCACAAATAATATCACTATCAATGTACCCCACACAACAAACCTCAGTCACAAATAATATCACTATCAATGTACCCCACACAACAAACCTCAGTCACAAATAATATCACTATCAATGTATGTTACACAACAAACCTCAGTCACAAATAATATCACTATCAATGTATGTTACACAACAAACCTCAGTCACAAATAATATCACTATCAATGTATGTTACACAACAAACCTCACACAAATAATATCACTATCAATGTATGTTACACAACAAACCTCAGTCACAAATAATATCACTATCAATGTACCCCACACAACAAACCTCAGTCACAAATAATATTACTATCAATGTACCCCACACAACAAACTTCAGTCAAAAATAATATCACTATCAATGTACCCCACACAACAAACCTCAGTCACAAATAATATCACTATCAATGTACCCCACACAACAAACCTCAGTCACAAATAATATCACTATCAATGTATGTTACACAACAAACCTCAGTCACAAATAATATCACTATCAATGTACCCCACACAACAAACTTCAGTCACAAATAATATCACTATCAATGTACCCCACACAACAAACCTCAGTCACAAATAATATCACTATCAATGTACCCCACACAACAAACCTCAGTCACAAATAATATCACTATCAATGTACCTCACACAACAAACCTCAGTCACAAATAATATCACTATCAATGTATGTTACACAACAAACCTCAGTCACAAATAATATCACTATCAATGTAGGTTACACAACAAACCTCAGTCACAAATAATATCACTATCAATGTATGTTACACAACAAACCTCAGTCACAAATAATATTACTATCAATGTACCCCACACAACAAACTTCAGTCAAAAATAATATCACTATCAATGTACCCCACACAACAAACCTCAGTCACAAATAATATCACTATCAATGTATGTTACACAACAAACCTCAGTCACAAATAATATCACTATCAATGTACCCCACACAACAAACCTCAGTAACAAATAATATCACTATCAATGTATGTTACACAACAAACCTCAGTCACAAATAATATCACTATCAATGTACCCCACACAACAAACCTCAGTCACAAATAATATCACTATCAATGTACCCCACACAACAAACCTTAGTCACAAATAATATCACTATCAATGTACCCCACACAACAAACCTCAGTCACAAATAATATCACTATCAATGTATGTTACACAACAAACCTCAGTCACAAATAATATCACTATCAATGTACCCCACACAACAAACCTCAGTCACAAATAATATCACTATCAATGTACTCCACACAACAAACCTCAGTCACAAATAATATCACTATCAATGTATGTTACACAACAAACCTCAGTCACAAATAATATCACTATCAATGTACCCCACACAACAAACCTCAGTCACAAATAATATCACTATCAATGTACCCCACACAACAAACCTCAGTCACAAATAATATCACTATCAATGTACCCCATACAACAAACCTCAGTCACAAATAATATCACTATCAATGTACCCCACACAACAAACCTAAGTCACAAATAATATCACTATCAATGTACCCCACACAACAAACCTCAGTCACAAATAATATCACTATCAATGTATGTTACACAACAAACCTCAGTCACAAATAATATCACTATCAATGTACCCCACACAACAAACCTCAGTCACAAATAATATCACTATCAATGTACCCCATACAACAAACCTCAGTCACAAATAATATCACTATCAATGTATGTTACACAACAAACCTCAGTCACAAATAATATCACTATCAATGTACCCCACACAACAAACCTCAGTCACAAATAATATCACTATCAATGTACTCCACACAACAAACCTCAGTCACAAATAATATCACTATCAATGTACCCCACACAACAAACCTCAGTCACAAATAATATTACTATCAATGTATGTTACACAACAAACCTCTATCACAATTAATTTGACTATAAATGTATATTACTCTTTATCAAATGTAATATAGTTTCCTGTGCATTTTATTCAATATAAAAAAGTGCATTTGTTTCAATATAACATTTCAACAGTAATAACATAAACAAATAGGGATGTTAAAAGTACATCCATCAACCAGATATAAAAAATGATAAATTATCACATACTCTCACACACCAATACAATATCAAATCATGGATTCTGTACCTCACATTCATGATCTATCTCACTACATCCTCAACTATTACTACACCACTATAGTATTGTTATACCATCCTCTACTTAGTGACCCTGTCATACATATGTTCATTGTCCTCAATCAGTCCTGACTACCACCACAGCTGTGACCTTTTGGCTTTAGGTACAACACGAACCATGACCTTTTGTACCGTATGACTCCAGCCATGACCTTTAGGCATGACCCAACCATGATGTTTAGATAGACCCAAGCCATGACCTTCATTTAAGACCTTAACCATGACCTTCAGTTAAGACCCTAGCCATGACCTTGAGGTATGACAATATGGTCCAACCATTCCTGTTTTGCCTTACTAACAAGTCTAATTTTAGAGTTGTTGTTGAGGCAGCTCAAAGTTAAAAATGATATACTTATATAGGGCTATATAACCATCAGATTACAGTTTTCTGAAATCTCACTTAAAACAATGTATGATATATTAAGACTAATTGTGAGTTCCCTTCTTCTACAATAAAACAAATTCATGATGTTATCTTCCAATTTTTCCTTAAAGTCTTTTAACATACCCCAAAATAATTAAGATAAACAGAAATCAACATCAAAGATACTTACCTGACCACGTTTCATCTGCTCCTGGAAGATCTTAAAGTTTCCTTTATGTTTTGGGTCATGGAGGCGGAGAAGGCGGCCATCACATAACCAGGAGTGGGGAACATCCGGGTAGAGCACACTAGTCTCCGTTAGGTTATGTACCAGTATGGGTGTATCACATGCTATCATACCACTATATCCAGAACGAGGGATGTAATGCATTAATTTAATTGGCTGACTATTCTCGTCTCTAGGCAACTGCTTTTCAACAACAGATTGAATAATATCATCAAGTGTACTGCTATTGTTGTTCTTTGACTTTGCCGGCTTTTTGTTACTTTCTCCACCTGATTTCACTTTGCCGGCAGTTTTTGTAAGTAATTCTCGTAATGTTGAGCAACTGGTTGGACCTTTTTTGTCACTTTCACTTTCGCCGACATTGCCTTGACCACATGGCGACACTGGCTCTGTGATTGGGTTGTATCCTTTCCCATATTTATCAGTTTCTCCACGACGCTTGTTGTACGGAGATTCACTTCGCTCACGACTGTTTTCGGAGTCCATGGAAGCAACATCAGCCAACATTCTCAGTGGGGAGGAACTGTCAGGACTGTAGCCTCCAAGTGATGACTTAACATTACCATTGACCGCTTGAGAATCATGCTTCCTGTTGCCTTTGTGAGACTTATGGTCGTCACCAACACCATTAACCATTTTTCTGTTCTTCTCGTTTGATATGTGGTTTAATGCATTCAGATACTTCTGGAATTATAAAAAATTGAAACAATACTTAACAACGGACTCAACAAATTAGTACAAAATTTGATTTAAAAAAACATGCAACAAAATTTCTGCTCAGAAATGAAAAAAAATTAACATGTCATTCATTGAAATCTCAATAAATTCTGCACTCACCTGTGTAATTCCATTTTTTGGCGGGTATTTCATTGACTTATCACAAGAGCACTTCGATGGAATATCCCACTTATTACGAATTTCATGGATTAATCTGCCAACCTCCCAAAGGGCTGAAAATGAAAGTAAAACAACGAATTATATTCTATTTTCTTGCCAAGGTTCTATATCAGTGAAGTATTAAATAATTTTCAGAAATGATCAGAGTGAGCTAGGTTAATCAGACTAAGCTTACTATGAACCACACAGAAGTCTACTAGTTACTTACCATCACGTGGAATGATTTGGGTGAGCATGAGTTTATCCACCTCATGCTGTTGACGATTAGAACTGCAGGTAAGCCATCTCCTCTGATCCTCACCAGGAGGAATATCATCCTCCTCCTCATCTTCCCTCTCATCTTTCTCCTCATCATCTTCCTCACGCTTCAGTGCTCTCATTCGGACCTTGTAGCAGTCCAGACACACCACAAATCCACACTTATGACAAACCCAATGCATATTGAAGAGAGTTGTGTCACAAACATCACACATTTCACGCACACCTGTAACTGCACGTTTCCATGCAATCTTGGCTGAAAACAAGAGAAATAATATTAAGAATTTTGTTCACTATTGTCCCATCTATCATAATTAAGATCCAGATAACAAATCAGCTTTGATAATATAGCTAATATTTAATGCATTATTTCATAATGATGGGAGCTTCTATTATAACTAATTAAATCTTCGATTCATTTCTAGGTAAAACCAATTAAAGATATATGCTAACCTTCCTCTCCTGCCCATGAGCGTGCCTCTCTCTCCTGCTCTACAAGTTCACAGAAGCGATCGCCAATTTTGGACACAACATATTTGGACGTCTCTATGTCCATCTTTGGCTCCATGACTGGTGTATGAGGCAACCATGGCTCAATGTCATCATACTCAGCATCAGACAACTCAGAAAACCCAGCTATTGTCAAGAAACCTTTTTGACTATATCGCAACCTGAAATTTCAATAAATAAATAAATAAAGCTTGGTATGATTGAAATATATCATTTCAATGTAAAATTTGGAAAATACTTGTAGGTTTAAAATTTTTGTTGAGATAACCAAGAACTTTTCCCTTTTTTCTAGTATATAGTTCAAAAAATTCAGCACTGCAATTATGATTGTAGTAGTACAGTAATAGTTGAGCTGTGAAGACAGCTAAATCCACCACATGGGGTGTTTGTATTCTGGCCAATACATCAGTCAAGGTTATGACCTTGGCCTGGGATTTATCTTAGTTTCCTGGACCTGTCATTTCCATTATCTCAGACTAGTCAGCTCATGTTTACAGCTTGTGATGGGAGTAGTGGTGCTGAGTAATGAACCACAGAGAAGTTCCCTGATATCCTCATTCTGACATTCCAAATCTGTCCAAGTCATATTTATGATGAGATGGTCCCTAGACCTACAACACTGTTGCTGTTCCCTCACCCCACTCTCCTCAATCCTTAACAGACAGAAAGTCCTCACGATGTGTATGTTTTCTCATGTAGAAACAGCTCAGGTCAGAGGTACAAGGGGGAATGTACAAGGTGGACAAATAAACACCATAATGACAGTGAACCCTGGGCTGGTGGGGATCATTACAACTTAATGACCTTCATTCTACAGTTATAAAGCCATTCCAGAGATTTGCTTTTCTGCACTGATACAGATCAATAGACTATATGGAAATTAATGGTTCCTCAGCACAAATAGCCATCTTCATAAAAGGCTACATGGAGTTCAACAGATTTCTTTAATAACTGAATTTTGTTTTCAAAATAGGTAAGCTTATAACAAACCATCAACAAAACACTGAATCTAGAACACTACACTTCTACCACAAAAATTTACAGGCCTCAACACCCAAATGATCCATCATTCTGAGACAGATTTATGGTGGACTGGGATGTGTGTATACTCAAAATAGGCGATAAAAGTCCCTAGCCATCAGAGTGAGTTGTGCCTGGCTTGATTTGCTTGGCTGTGTCAACAACATCACCTGGAACTAGCTTTTCTGACCCATATGACATCAGCCCTCTGGTGATACTAGGCCTTCACTTGTCTGAAAACCACAAACCATGACCTCCAATCTCTTCAGTCATATAACACCAGATTATCACTCCTAACCTATGTGATTCCCGCCCCATAACAACAAAGACATACCAGGAGATTTGAGGCCATTAACACAGTATTCAGCCTGTTTGTAGCCACAGGAAAGAATTTGGAAAAACCAACTCTTGTTCTCTAAACATGAGTAATCATTACAAGCACTCCTTGTCCGGAAATGGAAGGAATCTGCTTAAATTTACTAATCTCAACTAAATTCTAATCTAATTACATCTCAATGTTTTTCCAAAGACGAAGTATGATAATAGTTAAACATAGGGAATAGGGACATCAAAAACCAAAGACAACCGACAACACCATAGGGATAAAGGACCTTTTACACAAGATATTCATCTGAAAACTACAGTGTATTTATACAAGTGCTGTAAACAGACATTTCTGTGGCACTTAACACTCATACAACCATAACCATCAAAATAGATGTAAAAAGCATTAGGATGGTAAATGCAGGAGAAAAACTACCTGAAATTTCAGTAAAGAAGCTCTTCAGAGCATTACTAGGCAATTTATGGCTACCACAAATTCTATGTTGTTGAGCAGAGCTGAACTGTTTATAGCCTGAATGAGAAGGCACATGGTGCTGGTGGATTGTTAGAGGTGGGAATTGTAGACAGTCAGGGCCTCTGTCCCAGACTCAATCAATCCCCACTAAGTACCCAGCCAACTGTGCAGTATTTGGCAGCTTCCCTTTATACTGTATCATAAAGAAGTCGCAGTTGTTTACAATTTTTGTTCACATCTTTATTTCAATATTTTCAATTATCCAAAAATGGTCCTAGAAGATTGATTGATGTCAAAACAAAATTCTGACTATAAAAAGATTGGTTTTTATTTTGTATCAAAAATTTTTGTTGTTGTTGATGAAATATTCTAGAATTGGTATCAATATTTTTCAAAAGGAAGTTGATGATACTGGTAGATGAAGCTATCTTCAACCAGCTACTCTAAGCAGTTCCATATGTTTGGCTACAGACCCTACACATTATCAAACACGCACTTATTTCAAGTCTTCAAGAGATTTTCCCAGATAGGGAGTTACTAGTGACCTCTGTGACCTCCACCTACAAATAGACTACAAGGTTTTTCCTCTGGCAATATTATAGAGATCAACACTTCAACTGCAATCAAATAAATCTTTATTTTCTTTTTTAATTTTCAACGGTTAGATTCTTATCTCTGAAGCAGTTCTTTTTATGTTATCTTCAGTACACAACATTTATCTCCAATATAGGAAAATCTGTTATCTCGTAGGTTTTCCCATCACAAGAGGTATGTTATGCTTTGATACTGTTTCTGACACTGCTACAACAGACTGGTGAGGGATGGTAAGGGCTTGGTACATGAACATACTCCACTATCATCACTTAAGTGATGGTAGATGCTAGAAATATATTACAGTACCTCTAAGTGTGTGATAGCAAGACTGGGTGAATATATATAGACAAACATTATTTGGTATAAGGACTAGGTTTAGAAATAGACACACTCCATTTCTAAAGGTAAGGTACAATAGTTGTGTAATGGTAGGTTTAGTTACAGAAGATATGCCCAGCTGATCAAACACACTGGACTTGTCATACAGCTATCATTATTACCCCATAAAATGCACACAACTAGCATCTGACAAGACAAAAATCCAGGTACACTGACTCATCACAAATAACCGCCGTTCTCCTATTTCTCTTATGTCAATTCTGAACATGCTGTCCTGAATATACATATTACTATTCACACAGAGATCAATCTTCAGAACAGTTAAGTAAATATTCATTTTCATATTTGTGTTTGAAGTTAAACTGAATGACAGATATAATTTGATTTCAATAAACCAGCATATATATACTTATTTAAATGCCTTTGTTGACCTCACCTTCTGAAGGCATAGAACCTGCAGAATATGTTGGGAAGTTTCTTGCTGCGTTGGGTGGGAGTCATCTTACATTCACGACACTTCATGAGCTTGGGAGTGACCTCACTACATGAGCCATCTTGCAGAAATGGCTGACATGTCCTTTTCAGAGTTGCAACTGTTGCCTTCACCAACGGTTTATTGAATGAAGAACCTGTCAACATAAACATGTTCAAAGTTGAATTTCTCTTCAGAAAATCTATTTACAGATGTCCTCAAAACATCAAGACATCAACAAGATAATTTTTCAAGGAAGTGTTAAAATTACCAACATGTGGTTGAATGTTTCAATGGTTTGTTATTGACTTGATCCAATGTGGCCATGACACCTACCATTGTTCTTGGCAATAAACTCCACTTCTTTAGGAGGTATGATGCTGTTACATCCCCTTGCCTTTTCTCTTTCCCACTCACGCTCCCTCTCCCTCATTTCAATATCTAGGGCCTCTTGATCTGGATCTTTTTCCCTATCTTTTTCCTTTTCCCTGTCTCTATCCCTGCTTCGGTCTCTCTCTTTGTCACGTTCTCTATCTTTTTCATTTTCACGATCTCTGCCTCGTTCACGTTCTCTTTCCTTTTCACGTTCCTTTTCCCTTTGTTTTTCCTTTTTGTGCTTCTTCTTCTCCTTGCTGCTAACATTGCTGAGACTGCCAGAAGATGACAGAGAGGACGACAGAGGAGCCTCCATGGGTTTGGAAATGTCCATTGGTTTAGATCTATCAGGCTCACTGACAGGGGCCTGTTGACTTGAGGATTCTTGAGAGAGGAAGGAGGCATGTTTTGCCTCCTTTTTCTCTTTCTTTGTGGGTTGAGTGATAGCCGGGTTGGGGACGGGAGGGCTAGTGGTGTTACTTCTGCTGCCATTGTTTACTTCAGCCTCAGACTTAGACTCCAACTTGTTCTCTAATTTGGCTTCTGTTTTGGGATCCAACTTCAGCTTCTTAACTACAGTCCCATTGCTTCGTTCATCCTCACTGGACTCCTTATTCTAAAAAGATTAAATCATAGGAAATTATATTTATAATTTCAAACATTATTACTTTTGATTTGTTAGAAAACTAGCAGACATTGAGTTAAAATCAATGAAAAGAACATTACAACACTGAAGCAAGGCTTGTTTTAAATCAATTGGAGTTGAGTCTTGAATAATTTGGTCCTAAAAGTTTCAGTATTTGATTATAATATAACTGGTATGATACAAACTCTGAAAGAAGCCTTTCATTACAAATCATCTCAAAAATCATATCCAGGTCCTTAGATACACACACATCCAATCCATTTACAAAATCTATACATCACTCCAACATATTAAACAACATTTTGACATGAAAAATGGGCAAAGTAAAGGTTCCATGACAAGATTCTTCAAGGATAGAAGCTTTAAAAGCCGAAATAGTGGAGATTACATCACAGGATTACAAAGCTAAAACTTCAAAGTGGGTATAAAACTGATTCACTGATACATCAGAGGACAAACATTAAGATGGAAGAATCCCCAAAACCCCAACACAGCCATGATTCAGCACCAAAATCATCCTGTGTTGTGGTAGAACTACATGAAAGTTCAGTAGCCAAGAGCTTTTGTCCAGTGCTAGCATTGCAGACTACCAACACAATGGCCAACTCAAAGGTCGGAGACAGACTGTAGAGGCAATCAGCAGAAGGTCGATGGGAATGTGACAAAGTCATTGGCAAATATTACGCCATCAGAATAATGCTCTACTCAGAAAACTGCCAGATCAATGAGAACTTTTATTTTTCTTTGCAGCATAGACTGTGTTTAGTGAGCGATAAAGAGGGACTGCATTCCTTGGTGGCACAGAGTTGTGTCTGCTAGGTATTGATCGCACAAATCGACATAGCACTCCCGTAACTTCCTTGTTAATTCTGTACAGACTCTCACCTACAACCTTCTACTTCCAGTGCTCTGTCTACGTGTCCTTTTATAACTGAAGCGATTTCTGAGATATCCCCAACACTTCATTACTCATCATATTACGATAGAGAGCCATTTAAACCTGGAGATACAATTACTCTGATAAATACAAAAACCCAGGACCAATAACCAGGTAACGCCGCCCCTAGATCTCCTCAGTATACAGATGTCACACCTTGCTGGGACGCCATTGATTTCATGCTACAATGTTTGCTAACAGCAGCTACCATCACCACAGCATGCTGACAACAACCCTGCTGATCTATACTACCTGTGGCCCAGTATAGCCCAAAACCATCTCCGAAATCCTTGTAGCCATCTCAAGTGTGCTGGAAGTAAGCCACTATCCTACATGGTCCTAATGTCATTCCTACAGCTAGACAGATCCTATCTGGGCCTCCACTAGTAAATCAGACTATTGATTTTCCCAACCAGAAATTCCAACTAAACCCAATTTAGTGCCAAGCCCATTAAAGTGACTGCCAGAGCGATGATAACTTGTGTAAGCTTTCCTGACAGGCTCACTCTGCACTGCAACCAACCCACTTTAACATTCCTCTCTACTCATTTCATTTTCATGCAAAAATATTCCTGAAGGAATGAAACTGATCAAATAACTAGGTATACAGCATTTTTGTTGATGTTTGTAATACAAGATACCCATTTAATAATAAAACCTGACAGCTAAGGGAATAAATCAGATCCTATATACCAGCTTAAAATTCAATTTAAAACATTAACTGATCTGCTTATAACCCAGAGAATCGCACTAGTACAGAAATTCCAAAACTACCAGATATATATCTATAATGATGAGATAAGGCTATTTGTAAATGGTTATGAGTTGTTGAGAGAACAAAACACCTGCAGACCTGTTTCAGTACTTAGTTAAATACAATTTCCATTGATCAAGTTGATTAATGGCAACTTAAGTAAACAGAGGATACAATGGCTTACTCTTGTGGCATTTAGGGTCATTTAGAGGTCACCTTCAAAGGATGAAATATAAACATAAGTAGAATAAATTGTGGGAGAATCACAGCTGGCTCATCTAACTCTGTAAGTTGCCATGATGGACTCATCACTGCATTGACTTTGAGCATGGTAAGACATGGCAGGGTGCTGATGGTGGAGGACCTGTTGAGCTATCTGACAAGTGTAGGAAGAAAGGAATGGAGATTAATTCAAGTGTTGAGTCCTATGAGAACCTCACATAACAAGGTCAATGCCATATCACAACCCCACAACACAGGGTCCATACTGAATCAGAACCACACAACACAGGGTCCATACCCTATCAGAACAACATAACACGGTCTATACCCTCAGAACCCTTAAACACGAGGACTATACCCTATACGTCACACCACAGGTCAACGTCTAATATCAGAACCATCTCACTATAATTCTGCACCTATCTACCCATTTAAGATCAGGAAGCTGGGAGATGCTATCGTCTGATTTCATAGGTATACAGCAATGGGGAGAGTAAATTCTGTCAGTGTAACATCAAGGAAGGGTACGTTTATAGCGGTTCCACTCCCCTATCACCACTCCCTCAAACACCACAACAATACAGGACTACATAAACAAGGGTAACCATTAGCCAGAGATATTAATTATACTTCTATTCAGTAAGAGGGTTTCCTAGACAGTCTATTGTGTAATATCAACATAACATCAGCCATTTTTTCCCCAATAACTTCAATCTGCCACTCAATACCATAACAGGTAATATTTACAATACAAAGCCAGCCAGTTTTGTAGGGCAAACTCATTACTATGAGTACCCTATCTACCATCATTCATAGCCCTAGACAGGTAGAAGAGATTTACTAAACCACAAACTTCCGGTAAGGTGAACAAGGCTATGTGTGTTGCGCTACACACCCACGTCACACTGTAAGCCACATCACACCACAACTCCGGGTCACCTCAATCAAACCTGACAGTGACAAACAGCAATTAAGGAAAGAGTCACTGTTGCTATGGATGATCATCAATGTTAATAAGCTGAAATGACTGGAAAAACCCAGGTAAACTTTGAAGTTTGGTGGTCATGATGTTTTGGTGAGTCAGATCAGGGTTATTCAGTGCTTTGTTCTGTAGAGGAGATCAGGGGTTGAGAAGAGAACGGTGCACATTATCATCAGATCCACCACTCTGGGGATTACAAAGCTGACCTAGCTTTTACAGGGCAAGTAGTCTGTACTAGGTGACCGCCACAACTGTCATAAAACACCCAAAAAACTGGGCTTTTACAGAAACAATTACGAGGGCTATTGAGAACATGCACCGATGAAACTTCAGTGTGTAATATCAACACCACAACTCAAGGACCACATCAACTAGGAAAAAAAGGGCTGGCTTAACATCAAAACAACTAGTGAATAAATTTAAAGTGAAAATAGAAATTATTGGTCTGAAACATATCAGATTACTTACATAGTAATCTCCCAGAATTGCTATGACCTAGAATCAATACATACATCATTCAATTTTAAATGTTGACTGACATCACATTTTTTTAAGCAATCAGGCTTTTTAAAGCAGTGTATCATATTACATTCCTATTAATAATTTTGATCACAATAAACATGACTGCAGATGCTATTTTAACTACTGGAGTTCCCCTATAACATCAACTTTAAAAACTCTTCACTACAAATCTCCTTTCCATCTTTATCAAATTTCAGTAAAACCTTAAAGACCTTGTGGAGTGCAGATCTGGTGATTTGTTGGGGGTGGCGGCTGACTAGACTTTCTAATCAATTGTAAACTATGCTGTTGCACACATGCATGGAGAAGCAGTACCCCCTGTTGTACCTGACCTATACCAAGGGTCATAGATCTAGGAGTGGAAAGACATCATGCATGTAAACCTGCTTAACATGCTAGAGCAGATACAGACACTTTCCACATCCTATCATAACCCTTGTAATGTTAGCTCCTGAAAGCAGTTTATGTAAGAAGGCTTGTTTTTACTGCAAACAAACTGCCCCTTTCACTTCAATGGTGGTCTATTAAGAATTCTGATTAGTTCCACACCTCCAATATAAAGTCTTCTTGTCAACTGCAGACAATTTGTTTGAATACTCTCTCAGTCAGCCCCTACTTCAAAGCCTGCCACTGCACACAACACAGAAGATGATGTCTGGTGATAATACCACCACTTAATTAAATTGCATGGGGCAGTACAATAAATCCACCATGTGCAATATCACTGAAAAACAGTCCATGAGAGAGATAATATCACCCTGCCATTCTATTACATAATAATGCTGCCAGTAACAGGGACACTAGCCCACACAAGCTAGTCAGCTACAAGGAGTTTCGCCCACCAAAACACAGTACAGATGGTGGCATTTATGTAGTCACAGAGGCATCAATACACTAGCCACATAATACACTCAAAACGTTTCCATTAACTAGAACAGGAAACACATTGTTGTAGTAAGGTTGGAGTCCAGTTTTATCACAGAAAGGTTGCTTTTAAATCTTCTAGGGCAACCAAGGGTGAAAACTAAATTAATATGATAAGTGTATATACCATTTTACAACAAGGAATTGCAGGAACTCCAGTCAAGGCAAGCATAATTCTAAGATCCAACATAAATGCCAGAGGACAACAAGTCAGGACAAACCCTCTACCAGTCAGATGGAGCTGTACTCACATAATCACAGTTCTACAAGCAGTGTTTACCTTAGAATTATCTTTCTCCTTATTCTTCTTGCCCTTCTTTTTGCCCACTGGGGTGGGATTAGTGTTTGGGGTAGGATTAGGGATACTGTCTACCACAGCCTCGCTCTGTTGTTCTTGTCGTTGTTTTTTATTCACATTATTTCGCTTTTTCTGTCGTTTTTTTCCTGGAACTTCTGGATTCTGTTAAAAAAAAAAAAATCAAAATGAACCATATGAAACAAATTGTGATTGAATTCAACACACAGAAGTCTCAACTCTCTAGCCTTGAATACTGGTAGCTGGAAAAAAATCTAAGTCTATTGTGTTACAAACAAATGAAGATCAAGATACAATTACACCAGGTGAGGATACTAATACTTTAACAGGATATCTGGACATTTTTATTATAAATAGGACTTCATCACATATACCCAGACGCCTAAATATTGTCTGAAACCCAGAGTAGAGGATGAGCTAATTACATGACAATGATATAGCATTTGTAAATATTTCTACTTAAACTGCAATAGATGATGGTGGGCTAATTACTGGACAACTCCTTTAGCAATATCAGAAAATCCATTGCATTAAAGGTTTAAGTGAACAAAGATTATGACACACAGCTGAGACTGGCTGTGTCAGGAGGTTATATGCAGACCCTGAGGATGTTACTATATTTTATCATTACTAATGTTTGTGTAAGAGGAAAAACCACTGGCCTAGAGAATTCATTTCCTTGAAATTGAAGTTACAAAGTTCACTAGCCTGATTTAATGTACTGCCAACAAAGATTTCCTATCAATTTGAAAATTAATAGTTTCACAATGTGAAAGGCTTAATCTGAAATTTGTTTCCATTTGATGAAACTTGTCACCAATTTTAACTTTTATATGCCTATCATGACAAACCCTTCCAGCTGTTTCATAGATCTCAGGAAAAAAGGATGCTCATGTATGATCATATATGCATCAATGAATATGTGTTTTTTTAAATTGCTATCTGTTCTGATTGCTTTTTCATCTCATTATCTACACTATCACATGCGACACATGTAAGTCGTATTAATCAAACAATCCTAGGATTCCACACCAATAAGGGACATGCACTAACATTAATTTGAGTACACCTAACATCACAGAAAGCCTAGTAACAGCCGACAGCATTCAAAGTCACAACATACACTGAATCAACAGTAGTTATTTCCAAAATGTCAGGAAACAGCTGCTTGTGTTTACCAATCAGCTCTTATGCATGAATGCAACCAGGTCAGATTTTACATACTACTACACAGGAAACAGTAAATATCATCCATCAGGGGAAAAAGTGGTGGGAAACAGCTGGAGGTTCTACTAAACCTGCCCAGGATTGATGATGGTATGTGTAGGTAGTACAGCACAGAGAAGGACAGTGATCAGGTAATACCAAGATATTTTGGGGTGTATGAACACAGGTACAAAGAATATAAATACACAGGTGTATGGAATGTAAACATACAAGGGTAAGTAATATAAACACACAGGTGTTAGGAGTGTAAGCACACAAGTGTAAGGAAAGTAAACACACAAATGTATGGAGTGTATACACACACATGTAAGGAATATAAACACACAGGTATATGGAGTGTGAATGCACAGGTGAATGGAGTGTAAATGCACAGGTGTTTGGAGTGTATATACACACATGTAAGGAATATTAATATAAAACCTAAATTTTGTATAAACACATATGTAAAACGTAAACACACATGGGTGCAAGGAATGTAAACACACCTATGTATGGAGAGAAAACGCAGAAGTGTAAGGAATGTAAACACACAGATGTATTGAGTGTCAATGCACAAGTGTAAGGAATGTAAACAAACATGTGTATGGAGTGAAAACACACATGTAAGGAATATAAATATACAAGTTTAAGGAAATTGTATGAGATATTAATATAAAACCTAAATTTTCTATAAACACACATGTAAAATGTAAACACACATGGGTGTAAGGGGAGCAAACACATGGGTGTAAAGAATGTAAACACACAGGTGTAATGTGTGTAAATATGCTAGATATTGACATGTGTGATAGGGTTGTTAAGGTATTGTTATCAGAGCAATATCAAATACTGAACTCTGGTACCCTTGTATATCTAAAGCCAATAGATCAATGTAAAAACAGTAGGGTATCTACTTCTGTGTTTCCAGTTCTAAGCAGACTTTTAAACAGTGCACATATTTTTAATACAGACGCTGTAATAGCTATTTGCATGACAAGAATATAAAAATATATCAAAATATGTCATAATGCAGAAAGTGCTTCCTAAATAAAACTTAATCCAATATATAACACTGTAATGGGGTTATAGCTAATCACCAGGACCTTGACCATATTAAGAAATTTTGGACTGAAAATTCATTTTGAACAAGCGAGACCATAGTCAGAAATTTGGACAGAAGATCCAGCATGAGAATGTGAGACTAAAGAAATTAGGATTGAAGATTTTGTGAAGGTGACATAGTTAATTATCAGCTGGTGGCCTTTATATGATTGAACACGTGTATTATACTCAGTACTGATGTCTGAGACTCCTGTGGTAAAAAGATGGTGAGTCACCTTGGTTTACACATCCCCGCTATAGTTACCTTAATGGCTAGTACATTAGACAAACTCTGGATGGTAGTCTCTCTACAATATACAGTGTAAACCCTACATCCTACAGATCACAGTTCATATTGACTTTATATATTACTACATTGCTGTAAGCCACTGAAAGCCAATTTATTTGCTTTAAAAACTTGCCTGTATCTTAAAAGAATCTGTTTTCAACATTAAAAAACTGATTTGTATCAGAATCTGATCTACAGTTCTCTAACACTTCATGGTTTGTGTTCTTGTAATAACTATATCTACAAGTGCCTGGCACTATCATTCTAACGAAATATGACAGTGTTTTTCATACAGCTTTCAAATAGCTGAAATTGATTTTTCTCATAATCACCTCAATCTCTAGACATTAATGTTATTTATTGTCTTGAAGTTCCTCTTAAATAAATAAACATTTCAGAAGGCTTAACAACACAACTACCTCACAATTAAAAACTTTATAATGCAAATACACTACAAATACCAAAATCCACAGCTTGTATACACAACAACAAATATATCCTATCAAAGCTGGAGTATACAACTACACATCTATCATACCACAGCTAGTATATACAAAGTGTATCATACCACAGCTAGTATATACAAAGTGTATCATACCACAGCTAGTATATACAAAGTGTATCATACCACAGCTAGTATATACAAAGTGTATCATACCACAGCTTGTATATACAAAGTGTATCATACCACTGCTTGTATATACAATGAGTGTATCATACCACAGCTAGTATATACAAAGTGTATCATACCACAGCTTGTATATACAAAGTGTATCATACCACAGCTTGTATACACAACAACAAATATATCCTATCAAAGCTGGAGTATACAACTACACATCTATCATACCACAGCTAGTATATACAAAGTGTATCATACCACTGCTTGTATATACAATGAGTGTATCATACCACAGCTAGTATATACAAAGTGTATCATACCACAGCTTGTATATACAAAGTGTATCATACCACAGCTTGTATACACAACAACAAATATATCCTATCAAAGCTGGAGTATACAACTACACATCTATCATACCACAGCTAGTATATACAAAGTGTATCATACCACAGCTTGTATATACAAAGTGTATCATACCACGGCTTGTATATACAATGAGTGTATCATACCACAGCTTGTATATACAAAGTGTATCATACCACAGCTTGTATATACAAAGTGTATCATACCACTGCTTGTATATACAATGAGTGTATCATACCACAGCTTGTATATACAAAGTGTATCATACCACAGCTTGTATATACAAAGTGTATCATACCACTGCTTGTATATACAATGAGTGTATCATACCACAGCTAGTATATACAAAGTGTATCATACCACAGCTTGTATATACAAAGTGTATCATACCACTGCTTGTATATACAATGAGTGTATCATACCACAGCTAGTATATACAAAGTGTATCATACCACAGCTTGTATATACAAAGTGTATCATACCACTGCTTGTATATACAATGAGTGTATCATACCACAGCTAGTATATACAAAGTGTATCATACCACAGCTTGTATATACAAAGTGTATCATACCACTGCTTGTATATACAATGAGTGTATCATACCACAGCTTGTATATACAATGAGTGTATCATACCACAGCTAGTATATACAAAGTGTATCATACCACAGCTAGTATATACAAAGTGTATCATACCACAGCTTGTATATACAAAGTGTATCATACCACAGCTAGTATATACAAAGTGTATCATACCACAGCTTGTATATACAATGAGTGTATCATACCACAGCTAGTATATACAAAGTGTATCATACCACAGCTAGTATATACAAAGTGTATCATACCACAGCTAGTATATACAAAGTGTATCATACCACAGATTGTATATACAATGAGTGTATCATACCACAGCTAGTATATACAAAGTGTATCATACCACAGCTAGTATATACAAAGTGTATCATACCACAGCTAGTATATACAAAGTGTATCATACCACAGATTGTATATACAATGAGTGTATCATACCACAGCTAGTATATACAATGAGTGTATCATACCACAGATTGTATATACAATGAGTGTATCATACCACAGCTTGTATATACAATGAGTGTATCATACCACAGCTTGTGTATACAATGAGTGTATCATACCACAGATTGGGTATACAATGAGTGTATCATACCACAGCTTGTATATACAATGAGTGTATCATACCACAGCTTGTATATACAATGAGTGTATCATACCACAGATTGTATATACAACGAGTGTATCATACCACAGATTGTATATACAATGAGTGTATCATACCACAGATTGTATATACAATGAGTGTATCATACCACAGATTGTATATACAATGAGTGTATCATACCACAGATTGTATATACAATGAGTGTATCATACCACAGATTGTATATACAATGAGTTTATCATACCACAGCTTGTATATACAATGAGTGTATCATACCACAGCTTGTATATACAATGAGTGTATCATACCACAGATTGTATATACAATGAGTGTATCATACCACAGATTGTATATACAAAGTGTATCATACCACAGATTGTATATACAATGAGTGTATCATACCACAGATTGTATATACAATGAGTGTAGCATACCACAGCTTGGGAATACAACAACAAATGGGTATAAAACCAGACACACAATGCACCTCCTGTATCATATAAATATGGAAAACCTGTATCTCTACTCAACACAAAATTGTAAATATCTTCAAGTGCGAAAAAAAAACAAAAAAAATGGCAATGTCTTTTAATCAATATATCTTATGGAAGCTTCTATGAAAGTACTGAACTCTTTGCTTTCTTTCTATCACTACTTCCCTATATAATATAAGAATGAAAGTACTGAACTCTTTGCTTTCTTTCTATCACTACTTCCCTATATAATATAAGAATGAAAGTACTGAACTCTTTGCTTTCTTTCTATCACTACTTCCCTATATAATATAAGAATGAAAGTACTGAACTCTTTGCTTTCTTTCTATCACTACTTCCCTATATAATATAAGAATGAAAGTACTGAACTCTTTGCTTTCTTTCTATCACTACTTCCCTATATAATATAAGAATGAAAGTACTGAACTCTTTGCTTTCTTTCTATCACTACTTCCCTATATAATATAAGAATGAAAGTACTGAACTCTTTGCTTTCTTTCTATCACTACTTCCCTATATAATATAAGAATGAAAGTACTGAACTCTTTGCTTTCTTTCTATCACTACTTCCCTATATAATATAAGAATGAAAGTACTGAACTCTTTGCTTTCTTTCTATCACTACTTCCCTATATAATATAAGAATGAAAGTACTGAACTCTTTGCTTTCTTTCTATCACTACTTCCCTATATAATATAAGAATGAAAGTACTGAACTCTTTGCTTTCTTTCTATCACTACTTCCCTATATAATATAAGAATGAAAGTACTGAACTCTTTGCTTTCTTTCTATCACTACTTCCCTATATAATATAAGAATGAAAGTACTGAACTCTTTGCTTTCTTTCTATCACTACTTCCCTATATAATATAAGAATGAAAGTACTGAACTCTTTGCTTTCTTTCTATCACTACTTCCCTATATAATATAAGAATGAAAGTACTGAACTCTTTGCTTTCTTTCTATCACTACTTCCCTATATAATATAAGAATGAAAGTACTGAACTCTTTGCTTTCTTTCTATCACTACTTCCCTATATAATATAAGAATGAAAGTACTGAACTCTTTGCTTTCTTTCTATCACTACTTCCCTATATAATATAAGAATGTATAGGGGGACTCTGCTGCCAAATTATCTTACAGTTTTGGCACTGCTGTGGATTTCTCTACTTTTGGCACTGCTGTGGATTTCTCTACTTTTGGCACTGCTGTGGATTTCTCTACTTTGGCACTGCTGTGGATTTCTCTACTTTTGGCACTGCTGTGGATTTCTCTACTTTTGGCACTGCTGTGGATTTCTCTACTTTGGCACTGCTGTGGATTTCTCTACTTTTGGCACTGCTGTGGATTTCTCTACTTTTGGCACTGCTGTGGATTTCTCTACTTTGGCACTGCTGTGGATTTCTCTACTTTGGCACTGCTGTGGATTTCTCTACTTTTGCACTGCTGTGGATTTCTCTACTTTGGCACTGCTGTGGATTTCTCTACTTTGGCACTGCTGTGGATTTCTCTACTTTGGCACTGCTGTGGATTTCTCTACTTTTGCACTGCTGTGGATTTCTCTACTTTTGGCACTGCTGTGGATTTCTCTACTTTGGCACTGCTGTGGATTTCTCTACTTTTGGCACTGCTGTGGATTTCTCTACTTTTGGCACTGCTGTGGATTTCTCTACTTTTGCACTGCTGTGGATTTCTCTACTTTTGGCACTGCTGTGGATTTCTCTACTTTTGCACTGCTGTGGATTTCTCTACTTTGGCACTGCTGTGGATTTCTCTACTTTTGCACTGCTGTGGATTTCTCTACTTTTGCACTGCTGTGGATTTCTCTACTTTGGCACTGCTGTGGATTTCTCTACTTTTGCACTGCTGTGGATTTCTCTACTTTTGCACTGCTGTGGATTTCTCTACTTTTGCACTGCTGTGGATTTCTCTACTTTTGCACTGCTGTGGATTTCTCTACTTTTGCACTGCTGTGGATTTCTCTACTTTTGCACTGCTGTGGATTTCTCTACTTTTGCACTGCTGTGGATTTCTCTACTTTGGCACTGCTGTGGATTTCTCTACTTTGGCACTGCTGTGGATTTCTCTACTTTTGCACTGCTGTGGATTTCTCTACTTTTGCACTGCTGTGGATTTCTCTACTTTTGCACTGCTGTGGATTTCTCTACTTTTGGCACTGCTGTGGATTTCTCTACTTTGGCACTGCTGTGGATTTCTCTACTTTTGCACTGCTGTGAATTTCTTTACTATAGACTGAAAGTACCAGTAAGTTGTGAATAATCAAGAAAGCAGTGTGTTGTTCTTATTTTTCTTTTCTATTTTGGCCTAGGACCAAGAGTATAATCAAAGATTCTTCTATCAGCATGTAACACTTCCACTTGTCTGCCCTACCCCTACTGGCTGCTAACACAGCCTAAACCATCAACATCTCCATTTCCCCTGCTCTGGAATTCTCCATACTCTTGGAACTGCCAAATCACCATAGTTTGGAAGTAATTTATATGTTTACTGAAGACCTATAAACATCTACCTAAGCTGTAATCTTACATATGTTGACTAATGATGTACAAGACCACAACAAAAACAATCCAAGTTTTCTTTGTGGCACCAGGATACCTGCAAACATAACACAGCTGTACTCCAGTAAAATTAGGCATCCTTCTATTGGTCATTCACAATATTCACATATAGAGGGTCAAGTACAAACTATGGTCCTATAATACACTGATTAAATCAGGTGGGTTTATATTCAGCTTTTGTAAAATGTCCATTTTATAAATCAATTTGAAATGGGTGGTTTTGGCATTCTGGTTAATTGGTATAGGACACTTAGCAGTTCCTAATGATCTGTTAACCTAGGCTTGTACAAATAATGGCAAGATATAAAGTTAATACATGCACTGAAACTAATGCAAAAAATACATATCTTTAAAATACATGGGTAATCATGCTGAACAGCATTCCAGTAGTCGTATCAACAGCTGTCGACATAACACTGAGAAATGTGACACATGGATAAGTCCCTGAATAATTCTCTATCTTATATTGTAACACCTATAAATTATAACACAGATCCTCTTATTATGGCCTGTCTATTCATCTGATGGGTTGTCTACAGACAGTGAATGTTTCTAAGGATGATGTCATATCTGTCTGATGAGAGAAGTACAAGACAACAATGTTAAAAGATGCCACAACAAAAACATAAGGATAATTAATATAACATAATTTTGTTGGAAAGATTACACACATAAATAAAACAAGTTGCACACTTGTCAGATGACGTAAATGAGTGATAAATCTATACAGGCGACAGCTGGTTTCCTGGTCCTCGCGCAGTCTGGTTTTATGATTTAACATCCCATTATACCTGTATATATATAATCCATTAAAAACAAAATACACAAGCAGACTGTTAATGTAGATGTTTATACTTGGTGAAAATATTGTGTATAGTTAATTTATACAGCTGTAGTACATGGAAATTAATTATTTTACATTATACATTTATCTTCTATGTTTTGTTTTTGTTACATGCAGCACATTTACACAGAATTATAATACATGACATGAATTTCCTTAGTTACTGAACAGAAAGTTTCATATAAGAGTTTACCCATATACAATAACATGGGGAGTCTTAATGTAATCCTCAATATCTTACATACACAATAACTTTAGAAGCTAGATGGAGATGGCACCTTCTTCCACTATAAATCTAAATTACAACCTTCACCTATCCTCAAGTGACAATCAACATTAACAGTTGGCTCTGTGATTTCCAGGACAGCCACCATGATGAAATGTACACCTTCTTTACTGATAGTATATCAAATCTTGTCATATAAAACATTCATTTCTTTTAAGGAATTGTGTCTCATGATGACCATGTACATATCAAAATACAAACTAACAGAAAAAACTCATGAAACAACATGAACAAACAGCAGCAATGGATGATGTTACATTACATTACAGTCATGTGATACAAAACGTGTAGAACAGGTGGCTAACAAGGCCCATTCATTGTTATATAACATAACCAACTTACCTGAGCTGATTCTGTCTCTGATGCAGATGTAGTGGACTCATCATTACTAATGGAGTGATCCTTGAGGTTACCGTTGATTCTAAGAGCACTGATTGGGGAACGGCTTCCTCCCTCCTTACTGGGTGAGATGTAAGAACAATTCACATAACAATTTCGCACAATTTCTGCCTTTTGCTCACGACTATCTCCATGAGGAACTGGTGAATTTTTCAATTCCTTGTCTTCATCCGAGTGGCGCTGCAACCATGCTTTTTTCAATTTTGGTGCATTGCCGGACTTGTGTGGGGAGGTACTGTCTGATTTGACATGGGGTGGGGGACTAGGAGCACTGAGGGTGTCACTGTCTGTGTCAATTTGACCATTGGCCACACGATTGATGGTCTCCATTAGGGCCGTATGGCTGCTGATACTACTACTGCTACTACTCAATGTCTGGGAGTTGGAGTCATCCAGACAAGCACTGAGCTGGAGGGGGTCACTTTTCCTGCGTTGGTTCTGGGATTTGGTCTGAGATTGGGGTTGAGATTGGGGCTGAGATTGAGACTGGGGAGAGTGGTGCACCACAGGTTGAGGGGGTGGGGTATGTCCCACTTGAGCCGGAGGAGGTGGGGGACTTTTCCCAATTGGGTGCCATGATTGTTGTTGTTGTTGTGGTTTGGTCTCTGTAGTTGATGTTGAATGTTGTTGTTTACTACTATTACTGCTACTACTGTTATTTGACTTGCTTGATTTGTTCAAGTCCTGGTCTTGAAGGAACGCATTCTGAACAGCATTTTCAACAAAAGACTTAAAACTATCCATAAATCCTGAAGCAGTTTGCGAGCCTGGAGCTAATGAGGATGGAGAGGACATAAACGATGACGTAGATAATGTTGACGATGAAAATGATGAGGATGGAGATGAAATTGTGTTCATAGCTGATTTGGTTGTCATGGTGACATTGGAAAGAGCACTAGACACTGTAGTACATGTTGTACTACTTGTAGTTGTATATGGGGAGTGATTGGTCAATATCTGCGGAGTGGTCACTGGCACATTCAGAGCTGAATTTGCTACATTCTCTGCCTTCTGCCTCTTGCGTTGTGGCCCATCCTTGATGACCTTCCGCTTAACACCCTGTTGACCAGCTGAACTGCTGGACTGGGAGGTGGCTGTTGGAATGCTTGCTGATGTGTTTCCCTTCTGTTGGTCACTATGGGCCGATGACATTGACTTAACAGTACTTTGTGAGTAGATTGGGTTTGGCACAAGACCTTGCTGAATGAGACTGTAACTGTATGCCAGTGAGCGCCCAGGGAGGGACACGGGTGGCTGTGCTATTGCTGCAGACATGTAGTGACTGTTGCTACTGGATGCTGATGATCCGTTGGATGATGTGGATGAAGCTGGAGGTTTACCTCGGTGATAGTCAACTGGCTGACCTAACATTGCGGATGCAAGCTGCTGATGGTTCATGCCTTGGCTAAGTGGGCTGTTGGATGCGATATGTTTATTTTCCCCTTTGAGAGAGCTGAGTGATGATACATGTGATCCTGACGAGGACAGATCCATGGACCCGGAGACGTCATGGTGATAAGAACCTGCTGAGGGACTACTACTGGCTAAAGCTGAGCGTGGTCGGTCGTGATGGTGGCGATCAGGAGTATGTGCTGGTTTGGGCTGGGGTCGTGGGGAGGTGGATGGGGGCATGGGGATGGTACTGCTGTAGTGTGAATGTGCAGGGCGTGGGCTGGCAGACTTGCCACTGTCTTTACCCTTGTTCTCCACTATCACAGAGCTATGAGATTTGATGTCCTTAATCAATGGTGGAGGTACACCAGTTTTGGGTCGTTTAGGTGACGTTGAGCAAGTGGACCCAGATTTCGAGTCTATATTCATTTTCTCTTCACTTTGTTTCTCTGCAGCTGCCAAACCATGTAGATGAAGCTGTTCTGGTGATATATAAGTATGCTGGAATGGTTGGTAGCCATACAAACTAAAATTAGGTTCTTGCTTCACTCCTGACCCAGAGCCAGATGAGGAAGAAGAAGAAACAGGGTATCCTTTGAACCCCTGAGCTTGTTGGTAGTTGTGAGCTTTGTTATCACTAGAACGGCTTGAACTGACCTTCTCCACTTTCTGTTCCGATTTATGTTCTGTGGCAAGAGCTTTCTGACGTTCCTTAATGAACTCTTCTTGCTTAGCAACAAAGAGTTCTTGCTGCCTCATGATCTCATGCCGTCGAAGCATCTCAGTGTTAAAAGAAAGGTGACGCATTTCCTCCCTTTCCCTTTCCTATAACACAAACAAGACATAATTAAGATTGACAGCAAATTCAACAAATTTAAGCAGAAGAATTCACAATTCAGGCATTAGAACAAAACCGAAAGATTTTGGACTAAAAGAATTTTTAAATCTACAGAAAGTCCTGAACAGGAGGAGATACATGATCAGTTTGGGAACAAGCATTTACCTGTTTGACCTTTTCCTCCATGCTTTTAATGATATCCTGTTTATCAAGCTTCTCGCTATGACTGTAGTGGTAGGAGGAAGGGGACTGTTGTTCAGACTTGGGAGGCCCACTCTTCCCCGTGCCAAGGGTGATGGAGGGAGGTGCCCAGATCATGCCTGACTGCTGAGCCTGAAACATATCAGGGAATCAGTAACACAAAACTGTACTCTCAGACACAAATGTTGAGAACAATGTACAGTCAATTGAGCTCAAATACAAGTCAACTTTCTGACAAGTATTTCAGGCTCATGTGAGAATTGGCCATGCCATCAATGTAAGCTAAAAGTGGGCTAAATCACAAGCCAAGTATCTGGCAAGGATCAAACCACGTCTTAGTTGGTAAATGTAACAATGAGTAGGGTCTAAAATTTCATCCTTACACACCACCTTGTAGGCACAAAAGTCATATCAATGCACCTCAAAACTAGTATCATACGGATGTTTTAGACAGTACAGAAGCAGGGTTAGAGACTGTATGTCAACATAATTATTCACTTACCCTTTGTTTAGCAAGCCGTAAGGACTGCTGGAAATGGTCATCCACAGCAGCTAAGGTATCCGCAGATTCTTTGAGAATTCTTTCCCTTTCCTGCCGCTGTTCATGCTCATGTTCCCTCCGTTTACGTTCTAGCTCGCGCTCTCGTTCACGTTCCAAGAGCTCTTTCTCCATGCGTTCTCGTTCAGCTCGTTCTCGTTCAGCTCTTTCCCTCTCCATTTTTTCTCGTTCAATCCGCTCTCTATAAGTAAAGAATAAACAAACATCTGAGAGGAATGAACAAAAGTAAAACTAAATAGTGGTTGTGTAAAACAGTATTACACTGTTGGCACAGAAACAGCTGGTTTTCAAGTTTCAAGCTAAAAAAATCTATCTGAAAAAAAATTCAAACAAATAACATTTACGATATAAGTTTGTAAATTTGAGATCAGAATGATTTATTAGACACTGTAATTTCCCCTTAATCAGCACAGACCTTCTTTACCTTTTCCTTACTTATTTAAATCAAAGAGTTGCCTTACTCTATTCTGGATTTTACTTTTTGTCCGTTTTTCATCAAAAGATTAAATGTGAATATCCCTGATAAAGATGAGTCGTGTTATTAATCTTAAGGATATAGAAAACATCCAACCATATTTCAAGCCATTATATTAAATTTGCCTGAATCAAGTGATTGGAAGTTATTGAGTTACATTGAAAAATACAAGAGCAGAGGGAGGGACCCTGACTGTATAGTGAGATACTGGTCTGATCATGCTGGACAGTATACCTACAGAAAGTGGGTAGGTATTGGCTCAGTAAAAAGCTAGCTAGATAGAAAAGTACAGTAAAATTCAATATCGTCAATGGAATAATGGTATTTAATTGATCACAAACATTACCATAACATGTGTATATACAAGTACAGGATAATAGAAGCCAATTATAGGAAAGCTTTCAAAGTTTTTGTCTTCCTTACAGCTTTAATCAAACTTTTAGTGGTCTCTCGCAATGACTTACATGTTAAAGCCTTTATTCCACACTCGGCTATTTCTATACAAAATTACCTTTGTTAAATCAGAATAATTTTTGTCATGTATTTAGTTTTTAGGAGTAATGTTGGAACTAGTAAGAGATTCCTGAAAGGGATAAATGACTACCTTGTACCAGAAGGAAACACTAAAACCTAAGTTAACAATGTATGTCTGATTGATAGGTCTAAGTGACATTTTAACATCTCCCGTCTGAATGAAGACAATAAGTAAAGGTGACCAAGCAATCAAATATTTCTTTTATCTCAGCCTGATCAGGAGGTCCCACTGACGTCATCAACAGACAGATTACCCTGTAAGCTACTTACAACAACACTAATGCTACACGTGTCAAGGTAGCTTTACCAATCACACACAGTAAATATTAAAGGGGTATTGTTATCAATGTAGAGTAGAAACATTCCATATATATACACCTATAATACGCAAGAAGAAGCAGCTTATCTGTTCAAATCGAATCACTGATTAATACCAGATTCAAATAAAAACATAGTTAAGACATAACTTAGTATGTTTAAAAAAACTCTGTATGTGAAAGACCAATATGTCTGTACTCCAACACCAGATCAAAATGTTTAATTCCTGCAGTGCTCTTCAACATATGATGCTCTACCACAACTGTTGGCCTGATCAATACCTTGCCTGTTATTATCTTTGTCGTATTTGGAGGGAAAATTCCTTCTGACACCTCATCAATACTGTTATCAAAACAAAATCAATGGCTGTGTAATCTCCATGGGGGGTTCCAACATGTTTTATTGATCTAGAGGAGTCAATGGACTGGTACACACGAACCACAAGACACCATATATAAGGTTACCATACATAATCCCAGGATATACAGACACATACAGGACACCATACATAAGGTTATCATACATAATCGCAGAACATACTGATACATACAGGACACCATACATAAGGTTACCATACATAATCACAGGATATACGGACACATACAGGACACCATACATAAGGTTACCATACATAATCACAGGATATACTGACACATACAGGACACCATACATAAGGTTACCATATATAATCCCAGGATATACTGACACATACAGGACACCATACATAAGGTTACCATACATAATCGCAGAATATACTGATACATACAGGACACCATACATAAGGTTACCATACATAATCCCAGGATATACTGACACATACAGGACACCATATATAAGGTTACCATACATAATCTGAGGATATACTAACACATACAGGACACCATACATAAGGTTACCATACATAATCCCAGGATATACTGACACATACAGGACACCATACATAAGGTTACCATACATAATCCCAGGATATACTGACACATACAGGACACCTTTCAGGAAACAAAACTAAATAAGGATGATACAATGACACATACTGCAGTTACAATACAAGGAAAATTTAGTTGATAATATCCTACACTTGTAACTGATCTGAAGGAATTCTAATAAGCCAATATTACTGAATAAAATGGATGACAAGATGATATGATTTCCTTCTATCAACCAAAATACCAGCTCTAATAACACATTGTACAATAGTACCTTCTACTGACCTACATACAATCTACATTTGCTTTCACTGTAAACTCAGGTCTAATAGACAAAATGATCAAAATTTACATGTGTGGTATAGATATGTATAATCACATATAACTGTGACCTATCTACTGGGACAGGAGAAGTAAAATACTCTCTACAATACTACAGAAACAGTGACTTGTTCTGAGATCCTGTATACATGTCACAGGTAGGGCTTGTTAGCACACTCATCTGGTAAGTAATCACCACTGATAGACTGCTACTATCTCTGATTTAAACTCGGGAATATAATTTACTCTAGTGCTAATGAACAGTTCTTTTTCAGCATTTGGACTAGATCTCCATATATATAGCAGAGAGGAAGTAACAATGTGTTTTTTTTCACAAGTACATCAAGATCTCAATATTTCTTACGCCTATATTGATAAAACTTTCCTTACTCTACTGTGTGTATGTATTATTCAACACCAACAATTGACCTTTCTCCTTGCACTAAACTTTACAATATATTGATTTATAACTGTATCACTTTAGAAAACTTATTCATATGTTAATCTAGATATTTTCAACGCTTTCACAACTAAGAAGCTTATCTCTGAGAGCATTAAGCATGAAAAACAAAATGGACCTTAAAATAAAATGTTGTATCATTAATTTTTTTGACCACACATATACTGAGAGCCCTACAATATCAGAATAACTGCCCTTGATATTGCATATCGGTCTGTTCTCCTTATTATTATTATTATTCACACTGTTATCTCTGTCAAAATGTAAACATGAACAATACCTGCTTTCAAGTCCAAGAGAAATAGCCGGCATTGACAAGCAAAGTGCAATTTCTATAAGTGAATAAGCTCAAAATTTTTAACAACAGTTTAGAGTGAACATCTTACCTTTCAATGCGTTCTCTTTCTTGGCGTTCTCTTTCTATCTGGCGGTCTCTCTCAATTTTCTCTCTTTCTAGCCGATCCATGCGTTCCCTCTCAAGACGCTCACGTTCAATTCGGTCACGTTCATATCGTTCTATCTCACGTTCCTTCATGCTAAAGATATCCCGAAGAAGGTCCTCCTGTTTGCTGGCAAGCATCCACTGTGGAGGAACTGGTACCGAGGGGTACTTCTGCTGCCACAGGAGTTCTAGTTGGGCCATGGTTAGGTTAGCTGGAGGAGGATATCCAGCAGAACGCTGCAGAAGCAACGAATTGGAATACTGCAACGCAAGTTGCTGCTGCTGAATTGCTGCCAAAGTGGCATGGTCAAGCTGTCCCAGGCCTGGTGATAATCCTAGCTGAGCAGCTGCAGCTGCACCCATGGGATGATAGGACATGGAAGGAAGCACATGTGTGCGAGGGAGGGGATGGGTGGGGAATGAGGTTGTGGTAGGTAGACTCCCAGATGGGGGTGCTGATGGGATGGGGTTATGTACACCTGGGTATGTTGAAGACTTGTGAGGGGGTCCCAACATGCTTTGCACATTGCTCTGAACTGGATTTTTCCTCATTAATTCGGGATCCCTGTAGGGTAGTACAGGCTCTGTTCGATCTATTATAAGAGGACTAGATGCCGGACTGTTTTTACTGGATGTTCTCAGATCGTCAAGCCGTGAGGACGGTCGTCGATCATCACCATAACCAGAATAGCTTGAATGTTCACTTGTCCTAGAACTTGACCGATCATTGGGTGTCTGAGTGGAATTACCGTAGTTGGATAAAACGTTGTCCTTTATAGGAACACTATCTGACCTTAGGTCCTTTGATGGCACCACAGTATCTGAGGACTCACTTTGAGGGGACAGAGATTTGGTTTGGTTGATTGAGCTGCCAGTGTCTTCCCCATGGAGTGCTAGCTTTTCTGTCCTAGCTAATTTGGTGATCTGATCAGTCAGTGATCTATTGACGTCAATGCCAGCCAGAGAATTGGAAGGTGGATTACTACTACTTTCAGAAGAATTGTTACCTGCTAACAACCTCCGTTTCATAAAGTGCATATTATCGTCTGTGTCGGTTGACAGTGTTTCCACGTTTAGGTGCGAACTGTCGTTAGCGACAGCTTCACTTTCACTACCTGTACATGCCCTAGTCACCGCTGTATCACACGACACCAACACACTATCAGACACAGCACTATGTGTTAATACATCCTTATTACCTAAAGCACTAAATTCTGTTCCTGTTTTTGTATCATCATCTTTGTTAACAGTTGCCTCGGTAACCTGTGATAAGTCAGAGTCTGTTGTGCTCTTTACCACAGAGGTTTCTGAATCACATTTAGAAGCTTCTACGTTGTCACTAGCCTTCTTAACATCACAATGTTGCTCTTCCACATTCCTCCTCTTTGCAACAGCTGCCGGTGATGTGCGAGTTTGTTTCCCTGAAACTTTGGATCTGCGCGATTCTCTTTCACTAACTTTCCTGGAGGATTCAGTTTTTACAGGAGAGGGTGATATTTGTCTACGTTCCTTGGAATTAATAGATCTGGGTGTAGTCCTTGGTTCACTTCTATTTCGTAATTTTTTAGTATTCTCTATCTGCCGTTTCTTTGAAACCACAGAGCATTTGTCTGGAGATAGATTAATATCACACTTTTTTAATTGTACAGTTGGCTTTCTGTCAAATGACTTTGGCCTTTTGTTTACAGTAGGAGACACAGGAGGATTACTGTCTTGATTTCCTGCACTTTTCCGAATATCGGACGACCTTGCTCTTTTCACAGGACTTAAAATTTTCTCTTTTTTCTCCTCTAAAGGTAAACTTTGTCTGTTGATATCCTTTGGTTTTGAGCGTTTCCCTGTAGATGGTAAAGCAGTCTGTACTTGGGTTGAAGGACTCCAATCACTTCGCTCCTCAGTTCTACGCTTGCGTTCACGTGTAGGTTTTGTACGAACATTGGTTTTATCTGCAAGAGACAACAGAATATGTAAAGTCACTTGAATATCACTGGTAATTGTTCGACTTTTACACACTGGTATCCCTGAATGACTATATTTCCGAGCTGTTAAGTGGATATTTCAACTGTGTATTAATATCAATCCAGAGATTATGTTATTTCCTGGCCCAAGCTCAAATCACAAGATCATTGTTCTGATACCAAAAACAAAATACTCAAGTTAATGTATTTCCTAAAAGGGAAATCAATAAACTAGACAAATATATGAACATACATGGTATGGTATTAAGATAAATAATCCTCTGTTCCATTATAATGAACACAATGATTACTGGCAACACTGACCTGTACTACCAAGCTATCAGAGGACTACTTGTGACTCCACTGTGGGATGTCGCCTACAGTGAGGATGAGGTCATGCTGAACCAGATACCCAGCATAGGCTAAACACAGCTATACAATAGACCCGGCCACAGTACAAACTACACACTTTATCTAGGCTCTCAATCTTTGGAGAGTTACTGAACTGAATATAACAACACATCAACAATAATGGTGTCTCGCATGACTGGGCACGGCAGAGAGCCAAGCCTTGGTGATATATCACTGACCTCTGATACACACCATTGTAACTATCATAAAAGGTCTGTACTTGCACTTCTCCATAATCGAGTGAACCTGATCTGATCTGTTTGTTGTGTATTTTTGTCTGTACCCGATCTGATACAGTTTGGTATGATGTCATAATGTGTATCTTAGTTGTATACACATTAAAGAACTTCTACATCTTAACAAGCTTGTTTATTTTTTAGTGATAAAAGATAAAAGTTAAGCAGCTTTTATTTTTTATTTCTCTTTTCTTTCCAGAGAAACCCAACCAGACATGCCAGGTTAAGATGACTAACATATGGTTCTGAAAATACACATGCCTCTACTAGAATGTAAATTTTCTATGGCCTAAGAAACCATACAGTACATTGGCCACATGTACGATCACATGATCACACAGCCTTCATCTCTTATCTTATTTGTACAAGCTCTTCTAGGGGCACATAAACTTGTGGTAAAGTAGGATCAAGTATTTGGCCTATTTTCAATATTGTTATCAGTTTCTATAAGTTAATATAGATATATTGTATAGTTGTGTGTACTTCATGACAGACACATAAATATATATATAACCAGATCAGGGTGTATCATGTCTGATGGCCTCTAATTATTGCACAACACACACCAGTATGTAAATCACACCTATTAACATGATTGTATTTAAATCAGGCTAGATTTCCTTACAATTTATAATTAGATTCCCATTGATACATGACAAAGATCCATCAGACGATATGAAGAATTACTCTGTAATGAACAATGAAGTAAGCACTTAGTTCATTTAAATTTATTAGGATTAGGATCAACTGTATATCTTTTAAATACAATTAAATCCCACAAATGATCTTAAGGATTTTAATTTATTCATTCTGTCTGACATGTAGAGAAGAACATTACAAAAATAGCCTGAATAGATTTTATAAACAATAAATTAGCACAGAAGAACAATTCATCCATTTTTTTGTCACAACAGCATGACAATATCCACACCTGCCAGGGCACAATGGAGCAGGCTGTGCTAATCAAGCCTTTGTTTGACTGTGACTGAACAGCAGCAGGTCAACACCAATGTATAGTTCACCTGTCACCATAGCCCAAGTCTGCAGTACTGGACTTGAGTATAATTACCCACTGACATAAGTATTCATGTTATTGCTCTGTCCTGATGATAAACATTAAATGATATTGGAATGAAATAGATATGATGTCAGACTTATGCCACAAGATCACTGCAAAGTTACAGACCTTTGGAGGAAAATATTTACACAGACATTGCCCCCGTGGAATTGAAAAGGACAACTGTGAAATGTTCCTCCATTTTGTTGACTAAGCAAGTCAACATCACAGACTGGCAGTGTAGAATCACAGCCTAGCTGAACAGGAACATGAAACCCCCTGTAGTACATCAGGCTACTGATCTAGCACATTGTCAGATGTCAAAACCGCCCCATTAAAATGTCAAGCTGTGATATAACTGTTTTGCGTGATGCGAATCTCCTGTGCATACAATTAACCCATGGATTCTCACCATCCCTAGACAAAGGACTGCCTTGATTGAAAATAAATTATTCCTCAAAAACAATAAAAATTTAATGGCTCCATTCGTAATTGATAGCGAGTTGAATGTGTAGTCAATACAAATACATTACTCACAGATGGGTGATCAAATCTTCCAGGGCCTGGTACAAGGTAATACTGTTATTAGTATAAATAACGGAGAGACGACCAAACACCAGGAAGGCGAACTATTATATAACAGCTAATACAGAGGGTGAATTATTTCATCTTTAGTAAGACTGACCTTCAATATGTCAAAAAAAATTTATAGAATGTTTAAGATTTGAAAAGAAAGCACTTGATAGAAAGAAGTGAAATGAATTGTGGTATGAGATGAGCAGACTGTACAAGTCTCCCAGCCAGCATGGCCCTATACACAAACAAAGCATGCCACACGGCCATATTGGATAGTGTAACCTTTTCACTCAAAAAGTAAATGTAGAAGCTTAACACAGTTTACTATTCTGATTTTTTATCTTTCTTTTATTCATGTGATTTAACACAAATCATTGATAACGCTGATTATTGCTGACTTTTATCAACTTTCCTTGTCTATGAAAATTTTCAGTTATTTATAGGAGTGGGGTGGTAGCATGCCCCTGTACGCTCTTACCTACCACATAACATATCTAGCCTGACACATATTTAGACTGTACAAGTGAAATCCTCAGACATTTCAATAATGAATGACCTACAAGTCTAACTAAGGTGAAAACCCACCCAGACAAAGAAATGGTGATATCGACCAAAGTCTACCAAGCCGGCTTTGTTCAACAATTTCCGATTAAACATTCATGATCCATTGATTGTAACAGTGTAATGGGGAGAAAAAACACTCACAAGGTTTCATCAAATATGTACTAGGTTAATTTGATATCAAGATTTCTCACAGGCTAAACATGTGGTTACGTGATCTGGCAAACATGACCTAAATTTTGTATAGAAGACCAACATACATTTTATGTGTGAATACAAAAGAAATAAAATTTCTTACCTTTTTCTGAATCTGGTGTGGTAGTATTATTTCCACAAAGAATTCCTTGTTGACTTTGTGAAGAATTTGATGGTGTAAGTAGTCGTGTTTTACTTGTTCGAGCAGGAGTCTTAGTTGTAGAATTGCCTGGTTGTTCAGTTGATTTGGGTGTACTCCGTGGAAATGTATTCTGTAAAGCACAAATTTAAGTCTTAAAATCTGGTTATTCACATACTGATTGATCTCCAAGATTCACAATTAACAGATCATAGTAAATGTAGTCCAGTGAATATGGCGGAGAGCTATTAGAGATTCACAACACAACAGCAGCCAGTCTGGAGTAAAACACATGTACTTCTGGCCTCCAGGTCACCACACTAGTACTATACACTGGGTGTGACTGGTATGGTAAGCCACACTTTGGTGGTGGTGGTAGGGTGAGTGTATGACCTATCTACTCTGGCCCTGGGCGGCTTGGTTGAGTCAACAGATTGTAAGCCCTCCTGCTGTAAATGTGACCTTCACAGTGAGGTTTGGCGGGCTATAACACCTAGGCCTCTCACACTGTGTAACTGCACCACCAACTGCCAGAGTTACAGCTGAGCTGGCCAGTCAAGTGGCCGTATACACAGCTGTGGACCAGGAGTTGCAGAGTACAAGATACTTTCCTGTTATAATTGAACTATTTACCTGTGTAACTGTACATGTATACATACAAGTCAGCTATTTGGCACTGGGCCAGAATTACACACAATATCAATCATCTCTGGCAGTAGCACAGACATAGAAGGCTAAAAACAGGCATTTATACAGACAGATAGCAGGAAGGCTGGGAAAAGGAGAGCCAAAACTTCTCTATAGATTAGGAAGCAGTTATTACTGTGATGAATGACACAGTCCCCAGTACAGTCATCAATGGCTCATACACATTAATAATGATATAGGCAGATGGTGATAGTGAAATAACAATCATATACACAGAATGACACACAGTTATGAAGACGGCAGTAAAAAAGATATTGATTAATCAAAAACTGATTTTAGAAATGCAGAAGGAAAATAAACATATATACAACTGGATAAAAATATTTAGGCCCTATTACCTTTGGTGTACGTCATACCTCTAGTTGTCTATCAGGTCCAAACAAGTTAAATAAGTTAACTTAATTTTTTTTAATCCACACAAATTTTGTATATGCATTAAACTGTTGTATATATAGTAATGCCATTCACCATTAAGTAATCCATAGATGATAAAATGGAATGCGGGTCTGGTGGCCACAATGGCTACCAAAAACTGTAGCTTTTCTGTTTGTGACCTAATTTCTCACACCTACCTTAACAAGGAGTGTACTGTATATCTCCCAAAGTTTATCAACACACTTATTACTTCTGAAGTTTACTAGTACAAGTCCCTGGAGTCGATTCCAGTAAAGGATTAAACAATTCTTATAGTTTCACCATGTAGCTGTAGTGTGTGGAGGTACACTACACTATGGAAAGTGTGAAAAGGAATGGCCGCCAATACAGACCCCCAGTTCTCTGAACAGCTTGCCTGTAATCTCTGGCATTCAGCGCTCCAGAGGTTTTATCATGCTAATGTTGCCTGCCTAGAGCAAGTTTTACAAACAGCCCAAGTCAACAATTACTCTGTTGATTATCACGGTCAGGGGGCGTCTTGCAATACTCTACTGATTACCACTAACAGGGGTTGTCTCACAAGGTACATTTGACTTTCCTGATCTGTAGTGTATTTATTATATATCACATACCCCTGGTATTGATAATCCTTCTTGAGTCCTCATCCATGTATTAACAAGTCCAGTCAAATTTCCTTGTATTGTTCAATAGTGGTATTTGAAAATGAGAAAGCTTTTGAAAGGACAAATTAAATAAAGCTAATATGAATGGATAACAGCTTTTTATACTGATATGTGCTTTTATCCCCCAGGCCACAGACCTAAGTCCATGCTGAGGCCTTTTCCTACCAATGGACAAGAATAAACAAGGTCAAGGTCAATCACCATGCTATTAACTATACTCCAACTGAAATCCTCACAATCAAGTAGCTGAGAATCAATAACCCTTGGCTATGTTTGTCATATTTAATGTTATGTATTGGACGGTACTAGGCAAGCACCTCACCTCTTTACAAGTTTTCTTGTGGAGGTAAAATGCTGTCATTGTTGGAAATTGATTAAGTTTGATGGAGATATGCATGTTGTCTGACCCTACCCTATCAGTCTGAAGTAGAAACAAGGTTAAGAATCTGACCCTACCATATCGGTTTGAAGTAGAAACAAGGTTAAGAATCTCTACGGAGTTTGTATCAATCCTGATAGTAACAACAGGCCATGAATTGATCAATACTGCGTCTGCCTCTTTTCCTATATAGTTGTATTATTCATCTGTGAAAAAGAGCGAAATAATGGCACAGCAATCTCAGTGCTATATTTACAATGATGGTTGATCGATCAGATCCCTGAAGTCAGGCTATCTACAACGACTCGTGGGTAATACTGTCCATCAGCCCCAGATCCCTGAAGTCAGGCTATCTACAACAACTCGTGGGTAATACTGTCGATCAGCCCCAGATCCCTGAAGTCAGGCTATCTACAACAACTCGTGGGTAATACTGTCGATCAGCCCCAGATCCCTGAAGTCAGGCTATCTACAACAACTCGTGGGTAATACTGTCGATCAGCCCCAGATCCCTGAAGTCAGGCTATCTACAACAACTCATGGGTAATACTCTAATGGCTACAGTATTATAACAACTGTCACTTCTACTTTGTGTGTCGATAGTAGCTCTACTACTCTGACTATCATCTAACAGATTCCACTCTGATTAATACACTCATGTTTGGCTTGATTACTTTTTGAACGATGCAGTCTTTTACAGCATTCTTTACACGATGAGTAAGGATGGATTTTCTGCTAGCACTCTTTTGTCATGATTAAATGTGCAGGTGACAATGTATGCAAATTGCATGTGATTATATACACCAACCAACATAATTAGCACTACACGACCAGGCGCTAAAAACTATATAAAATTGTCTCTTCCAAGCTGACCTTCATTGTTAAACACAACAAAAGGTGTACCTCTCACAGACTGACAGGACAAATAACTAGTACAATCTAGCAGCACACAACATCAATATCACCTCTGTTTTTATGCAAAAGATTGCAACTCATGATCAACTCATGGAAATTGAATTCTGAAAGATGGCTTTGAAAGCAACAGAAAAATATATTTCTATACTAACTCTGACACAAATCAATTTGCATTTCAAACAAGTTATATATCATGCAAACAAGCAATATACAATGTATCATGTACTTTACCTTAAGTTAATTTTTCATCTAATTCTTCACACAAAATTAACCATGAGATAAATCATACAACCAGGTGATAAACCCTACAACCATGTGATAAACCCTACAACCATGTGATAAACCCTACAACCATGTGATAAACCCTACAACCATGTGATAAACCCTACAACCATGTGATAAACCCTACAACCATGTGATAAACCCTACAACCATGTGATAAACCCTACAACCATGTGATAAACCATATAACCATGTGATAAACCATACAACCATGTGATAAACCATACAACCATGTGATAAACCCTACAACCATGTGATAAACCATACAACCATGTGATAAACCCTACAACCATGTGATAAACCATACAACCATGTGATAAACCATACAACCATGTGATAAACCCTACAACCATGTGATAAACCATACAACCATGTGATAAACCCTACAACCATGTGATAAACCATACAACCATGTGATAAACCATATAACCATGTGATAAACCATGTGATAAACCATATAACCATGTGATAAACCATACAACCATGTTATAAACCATACAACCATGTGATAAACCATATAACCATGTGATAAACCATATAACCGTGTGATAAACCATATAACCATGTGATAAACCATGTGATAAACCATATAACCATGTGATAAACCATACAACCATGTTATAAACCATACAACCATGTGATAAACCATATAACCATGTGATAAACCATATAACCATGTGATAAACCATGTGATAAAAAACAACCATGTGATAAACCATACAACCATGTGATAAACCATGTGACAAACCATACAACCATGTGATAAACCATACAACCATATGATAAACTCTAAACATTTTTTTTAAAATCCAGCTGGCTGTCTGCTCTTTCATTTTAAATGCAATACTTCCATCTAGTAGTGTTTTTCCTGTCAATACACAATACAGAATCTCTTGACAATACACTGTCACCAGAAATGGAAATTTGTCCAAAGTATGCTGATTATACAGCTGAGCTCAGCTAGCAATTCTATTGACCTTCACCTTTTGAGTTTGGCTTGTTAAGGCGACTGACTTCCCAAGAGACATCATTATAATTTTCTTGCTTTACAAGCCTGCTGGTGATTTAGATCTTCTGACTCACAAGCTAAAATATTGTTTCCTGATTAATACAAATGGTGTTTGGAAATGAATGAAAAATAAATTGACAGTGTGCATGAGCTAGTTAAATACACTGATGGCAAGACAGAGTTTTTCCTCGTTGGTTTCATGACTTTTTTTTTTATTTATTTCCATTAGTAATTGATTTGCTGACTAAGTAACAAAATGGAATTACAGCACCAGATGATGACATTGTGGGTTTCGTTCTATAATCAATACTCAATGCTTTCTTCCCTTCCAGCAAATACATCATAAGATACTACCACAACCAACCAATGTACTTCAAAACAATCATCTCAAAGGATTGTTTTTTTTCTTCTACTGGCCATGCTAACATGGAGAAGATTAACCAAGAAATGAGCCAATAACCTGCAAGCATCTATGTCCTACAAAACCAAGCCTTTTTTGTCATTGCATTGTACCATACTTGACCAAGTGTACTAGATTGTTTGTTTTTGTAGAAAAGGATGCCCTAGTTGACTGTATATAGGACAAGCCACAGATGACCCTACAAGGCCCTGAGGTTATTTGTCAGTCTATCTAATACTGGTGTGATAAAGCCTTAGTTAACATCTCCACAGGCACTGTCTATAGGACCACTAGTCAGGATACATGTCAGGAAATTTAAAAGTATTCAAATTCAAAAAAAAAAAAAATTAACAGGAAATATATCTGATACAGCTCTGTGAAG